GGCGGCTGGCCGTGTCCCCCCGGCCCGGCCTCGCTACGCGACGCCCCTCGCCGCCCGTCGACGCGCGCGCCCCGCTGTGGTGGGGACCGCTGGTCTGCTCCCCCCCGGCCGCTGCTGCGACGGCCCGCGCCAACCCGAGCGCGCGCCCCGCTGTGTTTGGGGGGGCTGGTTTTGCCCCCCGCCATGCCGCAGCTGTGAGAGCGCAGTCATGCGCTGTCCCGAGCGCGCATCCCGTCGCGCTCGCAGGGGTTCGTCTGGTCCCTCCCCGCGCTGCTCAATGGGCGCACGGTCTTGAAGGTCCTAGTGGGCACCACGCTACATGGGGAGACGCTGGATTGGCCCATCATCGTGTTGTTCGAGCACAGCACTGCCCCTCTCCAAGTGTGCCCCAAGGTACGGTACTTGCAAACAATCCCAACTTCGTGCCTGAAAAAGCTCTAGATCTGGTCTTGCCAAATGCCTAAAAGACTGTGCTTCGAAACTTCGGTTTCATCTTAGCTTAGTTTCTATAGTCTCCTTCTCGAGAATCAACGCGACTGACATTTTTCACACTTGGGCTTTTCCCCCAGGACCTGGTGCACATAACTCCTTGAACGGGTCACACAGGCTGGGGGGCGGGAGGGTGGAACGGTCTGGCGTGTCCGCAGGTAAGACTACTCAGGAAGTCGATTGGCTCTGGATTTTAGAAGTGGCTCTTCACTGTCTCATGTCGTCAGTCTTTGCGTCCAACAATACGAGCAAAGGGCCTCTCTAAGTTAACGCGGACGGTCTGTCCTGGGGCGGCAAAGCTGATCAGTCTACAATTCAAGATGTACAGTCTTCTGCAGGGTTAGCACGTTGCTAAATGAATGCAATCTTGTTGATTGAGATGGACTAAGCGAGGCCGTTCTTTTGCAGAGAATATGACCCGGTCTGGAATCTCTGCGTTTGAGACACGCCAGCTACTTCGAGAAGGTGAGAAACGAAGGCCCAAAGGCTTGCGCACAAAGAAGTTGGCTGATCTGGCGACTCCAATTTTTACCGATAGGGAAATTGAGTGGTTCGTTGAGTTGCAAGAGAAGCACAGGCGGGGGGCCTCCACAAACTGGGCAGCCATGCTTAAGGACTGGAACTGCAGGCTTCTTCAGCTTCGCCTCAATCCATTAACAGCACACCTTGTAGCCAACGTGCATCCAAAACAGATGGGCCAGCTAGCTGCTTTCGAAAAAGAGGCATATCAAGTGCTCAATGGGCAGAACTCCGAGTTGTCTGGCATTGCGCAGCTTTCGAAGCAGCCAGGTGTCACTCAGTCGTCACCGCATCTGACAACCTTTCCATCCCTAACCGGCATTTCAGATTCCGAAGGCAGCCATGCCTTCTCTAATCAGTTCGGCGTTGCTAATCCGTTTCAGCATGTAGTTGGAGGTGACGGTTTATGCTATCCAGCCGGTCACTTTGGCATGCCATCGACAGCGGGGGTAACTTATCTGGCGGGTCAAGTCGGTCCTCCTATTGGGTCCAAACGATCTGCAGAGTTGGGCCTTTAGGAACCGCAAAAAGATGTAGGAAGTGTACAAACGCAGAAGGCCGAGACGTTTTCATGACCGGCCATAAGTGTCCTCTTAAAGACAAAACTTGAGTGACAAAATTGCTTTGAGCGTCTCAAACTTAGCTTCCCATTTGCACAGTACATGACATTATTTGATAATGGCATGCGCTTTCTTGGTTAAAGTTCTGCAAATACTACTTCTCATATTGCTCATTGGCGCCACGTCAAGCGCTCGCGCTGTTTATTTTTGTATTTTGCATAGTACCACGGACACAGCGGTATGGATGGCGGGTTGTGGCGCTCATACTATGATAGTAATGCGAGCTTCAGAGTCAAATCAGGTTTGCACTTTGAATATGTTGTGCGCCTCGTATTGAAGTCGCATGGGCCAATATTCGTGCAAGTTTTGTAATCTGAGCTGAATAAATTTTGCCAAATCTGTTTCTTGCTCTGTCAGAACCTACAAACCGTTGAAACATCATTGATACTGGAGTATACGGTAGTACTTGTTCATTGGCTTCGATCTGCTTTCGTGCCTCAGCTAGCGCATGTGTGCAAATCGGTAGGCCGTACTGCAGAATACAGCCTCTAACTGCTGTTGAAGTGATGGACCAATTTGAGCCGTCCGATGTCGATATCGAAATTTTATCGACGGGTACAGATTGTTCGAGTGATAAAGAGGCATGTGGAATCCCATAGCCTATGTGGAGCGGAATGCTCTACGGAAGAATTGAATTTACCAAGGTATGAGTGACAGTGCTCGGGGACCAGCTAGCCTTGGGTACCGGTTGTACCACCTGTTCTACCGGTACCATTAGTGCCGGCAGTTGGGGGACCTGTACCGCCGTTAGCGTGGTCGGGGCCTTCGGCCCCGTTAAAACGTTGGCTCTGTACGCCGCCGCAAGCGGCGGCGAGTTGGGGGGCAAGCCCCCAACTCAGCCCCTTCGGGGCTGAAAACCCCCCCAACACACCGAATTTTTTTCGGCCCAGACTGACTAACATAGGTAAGAGACCTGCAGCAAGCATCCCAACGTGCCTATGGATAACTAGCCGTTATGGCTTAAGTAATGAACGTGCAAGATATGACCTGATTACAACCGACGGCTTATAATCATCAAAAAAGGATAGTAAGCTGCCACGTGTTGCATCCCGAGTCCTGACTCCTGACTCCTGACTCCTGACTCCCGAGTCCTTGTAGGACCGTCGCGCAGTGACCGTCACGGCGTCACGTCCACTGGCACTGCCAGAGTTGGACGTGCGACCGCCGACCCTGTCATCGACGGTTTGAACCTCATGGTACCTATAATCTATCTACCGGCCTGGAAGATGGTACCCGGTGTACCGCGCGGGTAGGTAATTCCGGTACTGTACCGTAGGTCGCGCCCGGCTGTGCCTTACAGTAGGTACTAGGTATCTACCAAGGTATCAATCTGTGGGAGGTAGGTACCACTTTACGGTCAACATGGACCGGTCAGTCCCCGCAGTAGGTACCGTGTCGATCGATCACCGATCAGCCTAGCTTGCATGGCAGGGACGGGGCAGGGATCAATCATGAGTCACAGTCCCTGCCAGATAAGTCCCCGCTGCCTAAAGGGAACCGTTCTCCTGAACCCCGGCCGCTGTGGCAACAGGCCCGCAACATTTGAAATGATTCATAGGCCTATCCTGGGCCCGGAGGTTGCCAGAGTTGCCCGCGACGTTGCGCGACTTTCCGCGATTCTGCGCGACTGTTCCGCTACTGTTCCGCGACTTTGTTCCGCGAACTATGCGACCTTCACCGCAACCTTATAAACTCTTGGAAAACATGTTTTGAAGCAAGTTTCATGTTTAGATGCTTGCAATGCTCCGCGATGTTCCGCGACTTTCCGCGACCCTCCGCGACTTTCGTCCGCGACTTTAACCGCGACTCTGCGAACTCCGGGTCCATGATAGGCCTATTCATTGAAATCTTAGTGGAGCGTGAGGGGACCGGCGAGCCTCGCAAGCCGCCGTGTTGAAGTCTGGAAGGCAACCTACCAACATTCAAACATTGTGCACAACATTCAATGCCATCACATCAGAATTTGAGTTACGTCGTGACGAGTTGCCAGGTTGGGGCCATTGACAGCATTGAGACCAGCAGTGGGCCAGCCATTGAATGATTGAAGGTTGAGGCAACCAGACCGCCTAGCCGCATGATAACTACTAAAAAGTGATTGAAAAAAATAAACGCCATGGGCCCGTTGGCCACGCATTCGAACCCCGCGCAAACGAGGCGCAAGACATGCTAGACTGGGGCCTGAAGGAGGCTTGGCCAGCCTTACAATCACAGCGTTTGTGGTGACTATTGGGATACTACTGAGCATGTTAGGCTTTTACTCTATCCCGTTGTTATGCCAAAGACAAGCTGCCAGGCGGGCTCGGGCCCGGGTGCAATGTCAGTTCTCACGTCAAGGTGAGTGACTTTGTGCATCATCAGTTGATCAGTGTTCACACTAAAAGGGGACTAATACGTCGAATGTGCTGCCTACAGCTAGAGATCTTCTGATGTTCTAGGAACTTCCGTAGCCTCTAGACCCTATTAACAGACTGGTTAAACTACCTGTAGTTTGGAAATCTAAAGCGGCGCCTAGCCGCGGGCATCGCCTTATGTTTGCCCTGAAATGCTGTGACCGTTTCCGCTTCCACAACCATTGCCGCGAATTCTCAAATTGCAAGCACGTTCCTCATCGCAATCGCATACGTATACGATGATGCGCGCGCACGCCGTGCAAAATCTACCGGGACGCTGGTTGTCTCCGGGCGCTCACTCGAGACTCGCATAGTAGCACAGCAAGACTGCCCGATCGCCCGGCGGGTTGCACGGTGCATCAGATCAGGCTTTGGCGGCGGTACGCTGATACGGTACTGCCAGGTATCTACCCTGGCTGGGAACAGGTACCACCCGTGTACCGGTACCAGCACTGGGAGCCCGTGACTCTGAGGCTGCCCCAGTTCTTACCGGGCTGCGACCTTGCGAGCGAACACCTTCCTATGGAATTTGCCTGAGTCGCAGGTACGGTGTAGGCAACCCAGTGTATAGCATACCGGGCATGCATACTTTGAAAGTCAGCCCGGGAAATTCCCAAGTTGGAGGCTCAGCTAGTGCGCTAAAAGTTGGCAGTGGCACGTACAGGCCGTATACGGTACCTACGATCTGATGATCCCAGCTGTAACACGTGGATCACTTCTAGGCATTTATAGCCGTAGATATCAGGATAGACTTAATTAGATTATCCCGATGACTTACAGGATAACCCCCATAACGGTAAGATGATCTTATAAAAGAATACTCGATTCCTATTGGCTATACAAGATGAGCTTAGCTTAGCTAAAGCTCATCCAAGACTGCTGAGCTGCAGCAAGTCATACTATTACTATTATATAGACTGTACGCACAGACTGAGCTCATGTATGCACATGAGCAGCTTGGGTCAAGCTATGAAAGTGGATTTCTCCACTTGTGGACCTCATTCCCCCGACCCCGGATTGGGGACAATTTTATTGTCAAGACTTTTCTCAACTCTTAGCTACCTAGCGCTTCCACTGTAGAAATCAGGATCCCTTATATTGCTTAAGGGAGCTCCCGAATACATTGGTATTGCGAGGAAGCGATCCTTCTCCCTCCTCCCTCTTGACCCTCCTACCAAGCACCCTTGCTTGTCTCTCTTCTAAGCCCTTCAAGCGACAAGGTGGGGGGGGTCCGCACAACCATGACGGAACCCCGCGTCGTTGACCCCGCTGTCATGGAGGCCACCATGGCGGAGCTGGTGGGCCTCGTCACGGGACTGCAAGGCGAGGTGCTGCGCCTGTCACAGGCTCAGGCGCAAGCACAGGCAGCAGCTCTCGAGGCCTACCCAGCACCCCCGGTTAACCCTGAGCCGGTTATGGCCAGGGAGGTAACAGGGAAGCTCAAACTTCCTGCACCTAAACCTTATAGTGGTTCCTCCACTGTCGGTGCAGTGGAGAACTTTCTGTTTGATTGTGAGCGGTATTTTCGTGGCATGCATATTCCGGCAGATGCTCAGGTGTTATATGCTTCAGGGTTGCTTGAAGGGGGTGCAAAGACTTGGTGGCGCTTTATTTGTCAGCGTCTTGAGCGCACCCCCGAGCATGAGCTGTTGACTGACTGGGCATACTTTCACGAGGAGCTTCTTGCACGGTTCCGGGCTGTCAATGCCACTCGCCATGCCCGGGACAAGATGGCGAGTCTTCGACAGGATGGCAATGTGCGAACATACGCTTACAAAATCCAGGAACTATCCATGCAGATCCCCAACGTCCAAGACGAGGAGCTGCTCGACCGCTTCGTCCGGGGGCTCAAGCCGCGCACACGCATGGAAGTAACCATGCGCGACCCGAGCACCTTCGACGAAGCGGTCAAGTTAGCTGACCGCATGGACTCCCTCTTCACCCCCGGGTTCGGTTTGGACCGCCAGCCCAAAGGGCGGTTCAATTCGACTAACCCCATTCCTATTCTCCCCCGCCCTGCTAACCCTGTCGCTGACCCTGTTCCTATGGAGATTGATGCACTGAGGCGCAGACTGCCCCCGCTAACCGATGCTGAGAGAGATCGGTTACGGAAGATTGGTGGTTGCTTCCGTTGCAGGCAAACCGGGCACATCGAGACTAACTGTCCCCTTAACACCCAGACCCCCGTGCAGCGCCCTGGTGTCAACCACATTGACCACCAGGTGCCTTCCACCGAGCACCCTGACCTCATCGACCTCGACTCCGAGCCCCGCAGCTCGGAAAACTTCACGCCCCAGTAGACGGTCCCGGGACGTCCACTGGTGGCAACACTGCAAGGGACCGCAAGTCCCTCCCCAGGAACCGCAAGGCTAACCCACCCACCTCGGGTCCTACCGGACCCAAATCTTCTCGCTTGATTTTTCTACGTGGTCAGGTCCTAGGTCGTGCATGCAGGGTTTTGATTGATTCTGGTTGCTCTGACCTTGTGATGTCATCTGAGTTTGCGCGTGGTTTGAACATCGCTTTACGGTCTGACGATAGCTTGGAGCCCGTAACTCTAGCCAACGGTTCACAGCAACCGGTCAAATGGACTACTCAAGCCGTGCCATTTTCGGTCGGTTCTGAGTATTCCGAGGACCTACATTTCACCGTTACAGATGTAACATATGACATCATCTTGGGTCTTCCGTGGCTAGAGTCGGGTAACAAGTCTGTCGATTGGTTACGGCGTACCATTTCCTTCGTGCATGCAAGCCGGGTTGTAACGCTGGAAGCCGGTAAACCCGGCAAGCGTGCATTGCGAAAGGAATTTGGCGATCGCTTGCTTAACTCCGTCCAGATTAACAAACTCCGAAAAACAAAATCACCGGTCTTTCAAGTCGTTCCAAACGTTACTCCTGAGACCGCCACCGCAAATGCACCTGAGTACGAACGGTGCGAACGACTTAAGACTGAATTCCCCGACCTCTTCCCTCAGGACCTACCGGGCAATCTACCTCCTGACCGGGGTATGCCGTTCCGCATCGAAACTCAACCGGGCGCTACCCCGGTCAATCGCCCCATCTACCGGTTGTCTCCCTCAGAGTTGGAGGAGTTGCGGCGCACTCTGGATGACCTCCTTGCAAAGGGGTTCATCCGCCCGAGCAACTCTCCCTGGGGGGCCCCCGTCCTCTTCGCCCCCAAGAAGGACGGGGGCTTGCGCTTTTGCATTGACTACCGGGGACTTAATAAACAAACCGTTAAAAATGCGTACCCTCTTCCCCGGGCCGATGACCTCATCGACCAACTCCACGGTGCTAAATTCTTTTCTAAAATCGACTTGCGCTCCGGTTATTGGCAAATTCCCATCCATTCTGACGACGTATCGAAGACTGCTTTTAGGACTCGATATGGGCATTTTGAATGGCTTGTCCTTCCCTTCGGTCTGACTAATGCCCCTGCCGCTTTCATGGATTTGATGCAGAGTGTTTTCCGGGATTTGCTTGACCGGGGCGTTGTCAATTTTCTTGACGACATTCTCATTTACTCCGACTCTGCAGAGGAACACGAGCGCCTTCTTTGGGAGGTGTTCACACGTCTCCGCAAGCACACTCTCTTCGCCAAGGAGTCCAAGTGTGAATTATGGCGTACCGAGGTTACCTTCCTCGGCCACGTCATAAATGCTGACGGGGTGTCAATGGAGGCATGCAAGGTTGCGGCGGTAACCGCATGGCCTCAACCCCAGGACCCGGGCGATATTCGCTCATTTCTTGGCTTAGCGGGCTTTTACCGCCGATTTGTTCGCGATTTTTCTCGCATTGCTACCCCTCTGACTGATTTGCTGGTGAAGGGTGCAAAATTCGAGTGGACGGAAACGCATAACCACGCGTTCCATTCATTTAAATTTCAGCTAACCCATGCACCGATCCTACGCCCCTTTCACCCTGACCTACCTTGTACACTTGACATCGACGCCTCTGACTTTGCTGTTGGTGGTGTACTCTTGCAAGGTACCAACGGTACCAACCTGCAACCGGTCGCGTTCGAGTCGAAGCGCCTCAACCGCGCTGAGCGCAACTACTCCGCTCGCGACCGGGAGCAGCTGGCGTTGGTACACGCTACGCACAAGTGGCGGCATTATCTACTAGGCCGCCCGGTCACCGTCCGTACCGACCACCGACCACTCTTTTTTCCACTCAAACTCGAGTACATGCGCTCCCGCCACCACCGGTGGGAGGAGCAACTCGCACAATTTAACCTCAACCTCACGTACAGGGAAGGGCGGCTCAACATTGTACCGGACGCCCTCTCCCAGCGCCCGGACCACAAGCCGGAGCCTCCCACTAACCAACTCGTCCTTGCAGCAGTGTCATCCTTGATCCCCGACCGGGCATTCCTAACCGATGTCCGCCTTGCTACCACCGCTGACCCCTATGCCCAGATGGCTGTCTCGCGCATGATCCTGGCTGACATTGCTTTTGCCTCGTTCTCGCTTGACGATGGGTTGCTCTATAACTCCGGCTGCTTGTACATCCCTCCTGTACCTGAACTCCGCACACGCGTACTACGTACTAACCACGACTGTAACGTCTCTGCCCATCTAGGTATGGACAAGACTGAGGAACTCACCAACCGCACCTTCTACTGGCCGGACCTCCAAGCGGATGTCCGGCGTTACATACGCTCATGCGACGCGTGCCAACGCAACAAGCCCAGCAACCGCCGCCCTGGGGGACTCTTACAGCCTATTCCTATCCCCCAGGAGCGGTTGGAGCAAATTACTATGGACTTAATTGCGGGCTTACCTAAAACCACTCGAGGAAATTCCGGCATTGCTGTTTTCGTCGACCGGTTATCTAAAGAAATAAAAATCGCACCCATCTCTGATGACACCACTGCCCCTGCCATCGCTCGAGTATATTTTGATAATGTTTTCCGTCATAAGGGCTTGTCGCGCGTCATTATCTCTGACAGGGACCCCCGGTTCACTTCTAACTTTTGGCGTACCCTTTTCAGGCTCCTTGGTACCAAACTCTCCTTCTCCACCGCCTTCCACCCCCAAACCGACGGTCAAACCGAACGCGTCAACCGGGTCATCGAGGAAGCCCTCCGACCCTACGTTAACGCCCGGCATTCTGACTGGGACCTCCACCTTACCCCTATCGAGTTCGCCTATAACAACTCGGTACAGCTTTCCACCGGTCACTCCCCCTTCTACCTCAACACCGGTAGACACCCCCTCACACCTTCCAACCTCCTCAAACCACCCTCCTCCGATACACCCGCCGCCGATCAATTCCTCGACAACATTGCCACCTCCCTACAAAACGCCAAAACACTCCTCGTACTCGCCCAAAACCGACAAAAACAGTACGCCGACCTGCGTCGCCGCCCACTTACCTTCCAACCCGGCGACCAAGTCTATCTATCCACCGCCCACCTGTCGCTCCCTACCCGCTCCCAAGTACGCAAACTAGCACCCAAATACACCGGTCCCTTCACTGTACAACAAGCTATCTCCGAAGCTGCGTACAAACTAGACCTACCCGACCACATGACCATCCACCCGGTTTTCCACGTATCCCAGCTAAAACCCTACCACCCAAACGACCCGACCCGTTCACCGACCGCGACCCGCCACCCCCTCCTCCGGTACTCACCGCCGACAACCCCCAACACCCTATCGACAGTGTTGTAGACGAACGAACCGTCGGCCGCGGACCCCGGCAACGCACCCAGTACTTAGTAACCTACCGGGACCAGCCCTTCCATGAGGCCCAGTGGGTCGACGCCCACTTAGTGAATTTAGACCCCAGCAACGAGGACGTTGCTGGTACTTAAGGGGGGGACTGCTGTAACACGTGGATCACGTCTAGGCATTTATAGCCGTAGATATCAGGATAGACTTAATTAGATTATCCCGATGACTTACAGGATAACCCCTATAACGGTAACATGATCTTATAAAAGAATACTCGATTCCTATTGGCTATACAAGATGAGCTTAGCTTAGCTAAAGCTCATCCAAGACTGCTGAGCTGCAGCAAGTCATACTATTACTATTATATAGACTGTACGCACAGACTGAGCTCATGTATGCACATGAGCAGCTTGGGTCAAGCTATGAAAGTGGATTTCTCCACTTGTGGACCTCATTCCCCCGACCCCGGATTGAGGACAATTTTATTGTCAAGACTTTTCTCAACTCTTAGCTACCTAGCGCTTCCACTGTAGTAATCAGGATCCCTTATATTGCTTAAGGGAGCTCTCGATTACACCAGCAGACGGTAGGGGTACCGTACCTCCATACCAGGAGGTACCGTATACCCGGATACCTACCGTCCTAGCTCCTGAGGCTCCCGAGTCCTGACTCCTGACTCCTGACTCCCGAGTCCTTGTAGGACCGTCGCGCAGTGACCGTCACGACGTCACGTCCACTGGCACTGCCAGAGTTGGACGTGCGACCGCCGACCCTGTCATCGACGGTTTGAACCTCATGGTACCTATAATCTAAGTAACCTAGGTAGGTAGTATCAACCGGCCTGGAAGATGGTACCCGGTGTACCGCGCTGGTAGGTAATTCCGGTACTGTACCTTAAGTCGCGCCCGGCTGTGCCTTAGAGTAAGTACTAGGTATCTACCAAGGTATCAATCTGTGGGAGGTAGGTACCACTTTACGGTCAACATGGACCGGTCAGTCCCCGCAGTAGGTACCGTGTCGATCGATCATCGATCAGCCTAGCTTGCATGGCAGGGACGGGGCAGGGATCAATCATCAGTCACAGTCCCTGCCAGATCAGTCCCCGCTGCCTAAAGGGAACCGTTCTCCTGAAACCCGGCCGCTGTGGCAACAAGCCCGCAACATTTGAAATGATTCATAGGCCTATCCTGGGCCCGGAGGTTGCCAGAGTTGCCCGCGACGTTGCGCGACTTTTCGCGATTCTGCGCGACTGTTCCGCGACTGTTCCGCGACTTTGTTCCGCGAACTTTGCAACCTTCACCGCAACCTTATAAACTCTTGGAAAACATGTTTTGAAGCAAGTTTCATGTTTAGATGCTTGCAATGCTCCGCGACGTTCCGCGACTTTCCGCGACTTTCGTCCGCGACTTTCACCGTGACTCTGCGACCTCCGGGTCCAAGATAGGCCTATTCATTGAAATCTTAGTGGAGCGTAAGGGGACCGGCGAGCCTCGCAAGCCGCCGTGTTGAAGTCTGGAAGGCAACCTACCAACATTCAAACATTGTGCACAACATTCAATGCCATCACATCAGAATTTGAGTTACGTCGTGACGAGTTGCCAGGTTGGGGCCATTGATAGCATTGAGGCCATTTGTGGGCCAGCCATTGAATGATTGAAGGTTGAGGCAGCCAGACCACCTAGCCGCATGATAACTACTAAAAAGTGATTGAAAAAAACGCCATGGGCCCGTTGGCCACGCATTCGAACCCTGCGCAAACGAGGCGCAAGACATGCTAGACTGGGGCCTGAAGGAGGCTTGGCCAGCCTTACAATCACAGCGTTTGTGGTGACAATTGGGATACTACTGAGCCTGTTTGGCTTTTACTCTATCCAGCTGTTATGCCGAAGACAAGCTGCCAGGCGGGCTTGGGCCCGGGTGCAATGTCAGTTCTCACGTCAAGGTGAGTGACTTTGTGCATCATCAGTTGATCAGTGTCGATCACACTAAAATGGGACTAACACGTCGAATGTGATGCCTACAGCTAGAGATCTTCTGATGTTCTAGGAACTTCCGTAGCCTCTAGACCCTATTAACAGACTGGTTAAACTACCTGTAGTTTGGAAATCTTTTAATCATCCGACAGTAATGGGAAGCTTGGGGGAAGCTTGATATAGTTCCAAATTCAACTGTGCACAAGTTCGAACGTCCACGTGTCTGCAAGTTGCGGCTGCAAGCTAAATTGAACGTGGACCGTGCAAGAGTCTGGCAGGCATTCAATGACAAATACTTGTAACATGTACATCACAACAAGCTCTCAGGACTCAGTTAGATCTTGCTGCGAAAGTGGAATTCTGCCAGATGACCTTCATAGATTCAAACCTATCTATGGTTGATGTTTTGATATGGAGCCCTTTTTATGTGAATGTTTGTGTATCTCTTGTCCAACTTATTTAGAAGCCCGGCAGCTAGGTTGGATCTTTATATTGTTGGATTATCTCATGCAGATATGCCGCGGTCAGGCCAAACTTTGTATTATGAGGAGCGGGAAGTCCGAACGCGCAAGTGGCAAGACGAGCTGGATATTGCTGCAAAAAACAAGCTACATAACGATGCAGAGAAGATTCAAAAGCAACGTGAGAAGGATATTGTCTTAAAAGCGAAACGGTTGGGAGTGGAAGCAAATTCGTTTGGACGAGGTCAACAGATTGGTAAGGCAGTTACCAAGCTTGGCATCCATTCCTGAACTTACTCATAGATACATAGCCAGCTCCATAGACGTCGTTTGTTGCACTGCAGGCGGAAAGCTATGATCTGCTCAGACTTATTCCACTCAAAGCTTCAATGAGAAGGCGGAGGCCTGAGATCCGTCTACTCTTCAAATCTGCTTTTGTAAAGTGTTCGCAATGATTCAAGGCTTGAAGTACAACTGGCAATGATCCGAATCGGTTCAAGAAACCGTGACTCGTCAGTTGCGGGCCGCAATTGTGACGAGCAAATGATTGATCACACCAGCTTGATCTTTCAATGCCTATTAAGTTTACCAGGCGTCTTTCTTTCTTGCTCATTTCAGATCCACAGGTACAACGACGGGTTTATGAAGAACAGCGGAAACTTCAGGTTCAGAAGTGGCAGGAAGAGTTGCATTCGAGCACTATTGAAGCACGCTTTGGATACGGAAACGTCTGGAGAGAAAACTAACGAGCAACACCTGCAGAAGATCACTCAAAAAAAGAGAAAGCTCGGTCTATCTCAAGATTTCCCGGAAGAGGTTTGCGCCTTGGTGAAGGTGATCAAACTTAGAGTTGCATCTGGCTGCATACGTTGTATGAGTCGGGGAGTCAATATTTGAGTTGCATATCAATTTCTCAGTAATTGAACAATAGCTTGTCACGTGTGCACGGCACAAACCAGGCAGGGTCGGAAAGTTGCGGAGGTATCATCGGGAAATTCATATTGATGCCACATGCTAAGGCTTTGTGACGATTGAGTGTGTGATTAATACTTGTGCGTTCAAACACATTTGCAACGAGCTACAGAAACGGTCAGCCGCAGATTGTCGTTCCGTAAAACTCTGGTCGGTGTGCATGGCCCGTGTGCATGTTTATGTCACTACAAATCATTTCAATAAGCTGCTATAATGTGCACCAGTGCGAACAATATTGGGGGTCAATTGTTACAATAGGCTTGACACTATAAGGTTGCAGCACCCAATCCTCACCTTGAACACTGCATGATCCAATCATAAGATTGATCTCCGTGTGGTCATGACTCTCATGCATCGTCCGGAATGTCCGGAGGCTTGTAGGCTTGGGTTGGACCCTTTGACCATTTCAAATGAAAGTTTCAACTGATTCGGGCCCCAGGCTGATTCAATTGAGTCAAAGCATTGTATTATATACTCATTGTAATCGTACGTACAACCGGGACATGGCCAACCTTGCGGATCGGGAATAACACATGAAAGGAAAGAAGGTCTCATTGCATCGTATCATAGCTAGCTAGCAAATGGCGTCGCGGCGCATTGTCGCACTTGAGAGTCGACGGCGCGGCCGGCCCAGGCCAGAAATCAAACCCTGGGTCAAACCTGCGACCGACCGTCAACAGTGGAGGTGGCATCGCCTTTTTTGTGACCGATAGGTCACCTCCTGAAACTTGTTCTGCTTGCGCGCGCTTGATGACAAATTACCAACCGGTGTACCGTACGTGGGGGTCTCGGACTGCAAACTGCAGGCTGTCCGCCTTTTTGGCAATGCCAGCAAACGCCGTCAGGCGTGGCATTGCCTTGTATTACCCCTGTTCGTCCTCTCCCGTTTCCGCCTGCACAGACCGTTGCCGAAATCACCGAGAGTTGTCGAATACGGCTCATACATGACTCCAAAGTTGCAGAACTTGGAAAGTACGCGCCAATTACAATTTACGATTCTTATATTTTGGCTTCAAGACTCAAGTTCTCCAAGTTCCCACATCCGAGACTGCCCCGGTCACACTCTTCATGCAGCAGACATAGCCCGGTTGAGATTAGCCGCCCGAACCGCACCGTGACCGTCCGATCGGCGCACTCAATTCTGCCCGGGCGCCGGCCGAGCTAGGACCGGTAGGTAGAACACTAACAAACGGGCATTGAGCGACTGCATTGCCATTTTTCGTGATTGATAAATCGCCTCTGGAACTTGTCCTTCGATCCATGCATCCCGCAGCAAGGGCCGGTCGTAGATTCTGACCGTGCACTGCAGGACTCGATGAAGGCCGCAGCTACTCGGAGTCGGAGGTTGCTAACGAATTGTTTGCTTCAGCCTTCAGATACCGAATAGCTTGATAGCCGAAGTTTTTCCCTGAACTGAAACGGAGCTGAACTGTACACCTGTGCCAAGCTGGTAAACAATGAACACATATGGTGTGCTCAAGATGCAGTTAGCTCTATGTCTGCTAATAGTAGGCTTTGCTCTTAGCTCTTTGATGTGGAGACACAGCTGGCAGGAGACTTGTACCGCTCAGAGTTCTGAAAGGTATGCCACCCACTGCTAGCAGATTAAAGGCCTTTCCTGTCTCTCTGTCATTCTGTCATATACAACTGCTAGTCATTTCATGCTTGATTAGAAGGGTACAAATCATCTGCATCTATACCAGAAAGAAGGAGATAGCTTCTACAAGACTGTATCTGGTTCTTGATTCTCTGCACATTGCTGTCAATAACAAATTTGGTTTGACTTGTAACAGAGTGCTCAATCCTTTTTTATTTTATTTTTCCCTTTATATGGTTTTGAAAGCTGTTCCGGTATTTCTATTGAATCTTCTCAAAGTGGAGCACAAAAAAGAACTATGCATGCTGAGGATGCTGCGTATGATATCAGGAAAGGAACTATTAGCTAAGGAACTATAGCTCCTTTCTTGTGCATTGAGTGTCTGTGAAACAATTCATGAAGGGCTCATTCATGTCACCCCTGACTAAAGATGCTCTGCTGCCTTCAGCAACAGTGACATCAGCAAAGCTTCACATTGTCCATTTGGTCCAATGTGCACAGGGAGGTTTAAACACAGAAACAAAATGCCTCACTTCTTTTCACTTATCACAAAACTTTGTTGTCTTCGTTAAAGTTGGCCATTCAATGACCATTCTCTTCTGTCATTCAGAGATCTATGCACTAATAAACTGAATGACAAAACACAGCCCTTTCAAAATCCTTTCAAAAATAGACACCTTTGAATTGACCATTGCAAAAACTGTCTTCTTCTGTATTATGCAGTGCCAGCTTCCCCGCCAGCAAAGAAGCCCCACTTGGGCTCCTGTTAGAAAGACTCAACTCCCGGGACATCATGATGCCTCTGAAGGAGGTCCAGAAAGCTTTTATTCAAAGAAAGGCAACTGTGTTTGTCCTCCGCATCATGAAAACTGGCAGCACTGGTTTACAAGCTATTTTCAGCACTCGGAATCAGGCAGAATGCAGTCCTCATTTGCAAAAGGAGCTAAAGCTTCCAGAAAACCTGAAGCAGCATTGCAACCGGCTTTACAAGTTGCTAAATGAAGCTGTTTTCGATCCCCAGTGTTTGGACATGAGGGGGTGGGATGCGTAAGTATGGTCGTTTGTTTTTCCTTGTTGCTCTTTGCTACTCGCTGCTTCAAGGTATCCATGAGCTGTCTTTCATTGCAACCTACGGTCTCATGGGCTATTCAAACCAACTGTGCAAGTTTGAAAAGAGTACTTGACGAGGGGAGACGAGTTGTTGTAGGTCCAAACACCGTGCTGTTCCAAGGACGCTCATTGCAAATGAAGCTCCAAACACCATGCTTTCTGAAGGACGCTTAGGTGAACGAGCGGTCTTGGAGGTGTGCTATGTCGTTGTGACAAGATTGAGATATCGTTCCGTGAGGGGTCGCTTTTTGGTTTTTTGTTTTTTTGTTTTTTTTTTTGCACTCACGGAGTTCAATCACCCTTTTATAGAACCGTTGCATTGAAATTTGTGAAAATTAAAGGTTTGAGTGCCATTTTTTTTTCAGGCCAGAGTGGGTGCAACCAGATTGTCTTCCTTTTATATCTGGAGATTACGAGAGTCACCTCCTTGACTTGCGCCATGTGGAGCAAGACCGCGTGCGCACAGCATTTCGTGGCGCTCGAATTATTAGTGGACATATACCATATGGCATCCATCGCATTGGGCACAAAGGATTTTTTACATATGTTACACAGTTGAGGGAGCCCATTGCTCGGGTTGTTAGTCATGTTAACCACTTTTTGAGAAATGCTCCAGAATATCTGAACGGCACAACTTGGGAGGACCTTGTGCTCAACCCGAACTTTCTTTTTTTTGTAAAAAACAATCATCAAACGCGTCTCCTCTGCAACGAGGGGACCACCGGTCGGTACAAGGTTGGGCCTAATATGCATTTTACAACAAGCGATGAGGAGGTCACGGAGGTTCACTTTCGATGTGCGCTATCTCATCTAAGGAGCACATTCGCCTTGGTATTTGTTACGGAAAGACTAAACCAGGTCTATCCCTTGGCTCCAGTAGTGGCACGCATTTTCAACTTGACAATCAAGCAACCCAAGATTCGGACAGATACATACAATCCAACAAATTTTGAAAACACATCTGTCCCAATCCGTGCAACATCTGACATATCCGAAAACATCAGGTTGCACTTAGAAGGGTGGAACAAGTGGGATATACTACTCTACAATGAGGCAACCATTCTGCATAAATTATCTGTTGACAGGTTGCTAAGCTTCAATGATAGCCTTTATTGACACAGCTTAATCAACGCACTGCTATATCAGAAAGACATTGCTACAATCATCCAGCTTCTGTGCTTTGCAATCAGTTTCACCCGTTTCTGACTCACTTGATGACTTCGGTCCATGAAGTCATTACGAAAAGCAAAGAATTCAGAGCATAACAGCATTTAGCTGCTTTTACGCTTTCGTGATCTTTTTGCTTTCGTCTTGTCGTTTTGGAAAGTTTCGTATTACCCGTTTTCGTTCCTTCTTTTCCTTTCTTTTCCTCCTTATTCCTTAAATCTGGTCATTTGCTTGCCTTCAGATCTACTTTTGATCGTCCAGTGAACCTTTCACATGGAACATTCAGGCCAAGCCGTGATCCATTTCAGTTTTGAATCATGTTCGAATGGCTTTCAAGTTGAAGCTCTGGGTAGGCGACTTTAAGCCGCATGAATCATTGTCATGCAAGTAAATTTTGGATGAAACACCACTAAAGACGTTAAGGTTTAAGGACACCGGAAAGCATTTCGAACTTTAAGGGCAGCACTTGATAAAGATCAACTCCGCTCTAGTTTCAATCATTCATGACTTGGTGCCCGGCTAGTTTGGCGAGTAGCATGACTTAGATTCGGGTAGGGTAGCTAGACGTTCAAAGCTCATACAATTGCCCATATGTACTGCCTATGGTCCATGTGACTGCGGCGTTTTGAAAAGAGAACATGTGTTCAGGACTCGTTCAGGATCCTTATGAATCTTGAATGAATGAAGCTATGCTAAACAGACACTATGATGACTATGATCTTGGAGCCCGGCCCTCGCTGCAGGATCACCACAAATCCTTTGTATACGAACCAAGGCCTTCCATTCATTGCTCCAACATTCATGTGAATCTTGAATAAATCTTGGATTCAGGTGTGAAGACGAGTAAGTACTGTTTTTGATTTGATTTGTTTGTTTAACGTCGGTTCGGAGCCGTGATCGGCTAAGTCGACGACAGTCCTCACTACACTAAGCTTTTAACTTTTCAAAGTGCTACCTAGCTCTTCTCTCCATACAAAGATGAGATACTTGCCTACCGCAATCTTGTCCTCTCCATTCAAGAAAGCCCTAAGGCTCTTCGTGCCCCTATTGTCGAATATGGAATGGAAGATTCTTCTCAGATCTTCGTAAGCTACACAATCATATACGAAGTGAGATTCGTCTTCTATTGCATCTGCGCCGCACACTATGCGAAGTCTTTCTGCTCTAGCTATGCCTTGCCACTTTCCTGTTTCGACAGCAAGATTGTGGGAACCTATCCGGAACTTAGCCAATGTGTGGGGAAAAGGGAAGCTACTTATGTTATCCAAATACGGCTCAAACGAGTAACCTTCTTTGACCACCTCAAAGTATGTCTCGTATTTGGTCCCATGATCCTCTCGGAGATCTTGCATGTAAGCCATCTCGGAGAAGTCGCGCAGCATCTTCACGTCGAGACCCCGCTTCTCTAGTTGCTCGTCGGTCGCTAACTCCCTCGCTTTCTCCATGACTTTTGAGTACCAACCCCCTTGGCCCGCTGCCCACATCGCCTTTGACTCCTCTAGAGCCAACCTTGCTAGTCGGTCGCTTGAAAGAGCAGAAGTCCGATTGACGAACCTGAAAACCCGCTCCCATCTCACAATGGCAAGCGGAAACCGGCCCATCTCTCCAAGAACCGCTTTTGAAAGAGTCGACTTTCGAGCTCGCAGCAGACTTCGCAAGAAAAGACGATGCACTGTCTCCAAACAGTCCCCATCCCCATTCCATCCCCACTCCCGACCATACCCCGGACCCCACACCTCTCCCCCGTACTGAAGAATTGGACTCACGCGGGTATCGAAGATGCCAAGCTTCGTGCTGATCTTCCGTAGCCCCAGCTCCTTGCATCTCCGGTCCATTGCAAACGCCGCTTTCCGCCCCGCCTCCGCCAGAAATTGGACCCCTTGCCGGAAACTTCCATTGCAGTGAAACTGGACACCGAGATAGCGGTAACTCTCAACGATCTCTACGCGCTCTCCCCCATAACGGAACTCGTGCTTCGCTTTCTGTGCTTCGACTTTTCCCCCAAAAACGACGACCTCCGTCTTTTGCAAGTTTACAAGAAGTTCCGTCCGGCGACTGAAACCCTCCAAAAGTTCCAACTTCCTCTGCAAGCCTGCGGCACTGGTGGAAAGGAGGACTACGTCGTCCGCAAAGGCTAGCAAAGGAACTCTCACGCCTCTCAACATCGGATCATCTCCAATGGGGCCCGCATGAATAATCACAAGGTGTTCACTTTCATCATTCAATTGCTTATATAGAGGGTCATATATATACACTATATACACAAGTCATCCTCGAACGCTATAGTAGGTGTATATACCCCCTATCTATTTCCCTCTAAGTTCATCATCAGGTAGGCCGGGTCCAGAACAAGGCCCAAAGTGCTTCGGAGGCGTCCAGTAGAGGCCGGTCGATCGACGGGCCTTCAAGCTTTCTCACTTGTGACACCAAGCTTTTGCCGCTTCCACTTTTTCTCATCCTAATCCAGTCAAGACTCTCGGGTGCATTTCAGCCAGTGCGAAGCGTCCTTCACGCATGCTCTGCTATTCCCAAAAACGGCCCGCCGATTTGCCTAGTTATCATCATCCTCTTAGGGCCCCCTCCCTTCCCCTATAGAAGGGCCCGCTTATTCAGTCCACACGCGGAATCGTGGACAATGCTAGCTGCATGCACTAGCTGTAGGCTACAATAGGGGGTAGTTCGGACGATTTCAATGGAGCCTGACCAGACTAACTGGTCGCCGGAACATATTAATCTCCTCACTGACTCGCTGACTGACTGCCTAACTACATTGCCTATGGGCTCTGACTCGACCGAGGCGGCTCCTGACCAACCCTAACTGACTAACCACCTAACCTGCGACGCATGGGCAGCTCGGCGGCACGGTTTAATTGGTACATTCCTCAGCACTTCAGTGTATAGATCGTACTTTCGGCCTTGTACATAGGTATTATCTAGTATATCGCAGGTGGGGTCCCACTCACAGCCACTCACAGCCAAGATACATGGAGAAAGAAGAGAGAAAAGAGAGAAAAAAAGAAGAAAAGTGGTAAAGAGGGAGATATAAGAGAGGGTATGATCGGTTTTGTAAGACGAAATCAGATCATCGAGTGGCCCCCGGATGACCGTTTGATACAAAGATCGATTCATTATGACCGTCCGAATGATCAATAGGAAGTCAAGAAGTGACGATTCAAATGACGTTGCATCCAATCCTATTTCGGGCGACTCAGACCCCGTTTATTCTCTAGAGAACACCCCCCCTCCGGCCACTGCCCACTCTCGGGGTTTAGTGCCACGTGGCAGGGGCGATCGAGTTTCGGCGCACTAGTGCGTGCGGCGCGACGCGGCCAGCTCAAGGCCTGCGCGGTAAGCCGCGGTAAGTCGCCTGCGCAGCGGAATTTGTGTGCGTAGCGTGTGCCTTTCAAACCACAGCTCTCCGGAACCTAGTAGCTCTCCAGCAAATGCACAAGTGTCCCATTACACTTGCTTTGGGCAACTTTTAGACTGCAATTACATATGCGAAGCTTTCATTCATCATTCATTCACTCACACAAGCAATGCACTCACTGACTTGTGCTCGGGGGCACATCTCATGTTATACCATCACAAGGGTAGTTCCCTGATTAGCCATGAGCATTCTTCCTGCGGAGACTGTGCGCAGTGACGGTAGTCACGCAGCACTCATGCAATGAGGGGCAACAATACCTGGAACATAACAAGGCGTCATGCCTTAAAGCCACACAGAATGACTTAGTGCTTACACAGCGCACTAGCCCCTTGGGCTGTGCTGCTATGGATCTCCTGTTCCTGCTCTTCTTAGCGCCTCTGCGCTCTATCTCAAAAGCTAGGAAATCTGAAACACAAGGAACGAGCTAAAGTTCCACAAATCTTTCAACTTCTACCGATTCTGGCCAAAGTGTTGTGTGGCCCTACCCCACGTCCAAAAGACCCTTATTTATGTATGACGCAGGTCGCCAGGACTCGTAAAAGACTCCGGAAGGAGGCCCCATAGAGAACCTGCACGATAGACCAAACACGACTTAGCGCAGGTTCTCAATGAGATATTGAGTTCCTTTGCCCAGTCACGTTACTAAAGCGGAGGGCTAGTCTCTCTCCGCAAAGCCTTCTAACTTGTATCGACCAACGGTTGGATTCCTTCTTATCGATCTACGGTAGTTCTAGACTCTTTATTCATCGAGCGGCTCTCCGCAATCGCACGTGGTCACCAAAGACTCCCCGTGCCAAACTCTGCTTCGTGCGAGTCGAACTTATATCGCGCCGCGGCTTAGCGCGCACACATGTTTCTGCAGCAGCAGCAAGTGTCTGCACGCCACGTGTCACAATCCTATACGCGCGCAACCCTGGTGGGACATCCACAGAGGGCAGAGCACAGCTGTATTCTCTATTCCCTCGCTGGGAGCTCGTCCCGGAGCGAGAAGGATAAGAAATCTGAGTACGGGATCAGGGCCTTTTTCCCTGCCTCCCGCGGGCGGCCGGATGTCCGAGGGTGCGACATTGCCAACTACGGCTTTCTGATTGGCCAGCTCAACACTTCTTTTTCGAACTAAGGCTGTTTCCTATCTGAAACCTTAGTCAGTGTACCGTGGAGCGAATCCTAACACTGAAGGTTCACCGCGTTGCGGCCTAAATTTCACTAAATTTCATTAAATTTGGCCCAAGTACTTAAAAGATGTACACCTTCGAGGTCCCGGTGCTGGAGCACACTGGTGACTAGTACTGAATGTAAACTGAACCAGGCTGGGTGGAGAAGCGCCGGCAGACCCCGGTACAGATTTTGGGCGGCCGGCCTACCGGTCAAAATCAAAGGCCGGTAGGCGAGTATTATAGTATGATCTGTAGACCTTAAAAGTGCCCGGCAAACGATCACGGGCCCTGTTCCCCTGACACACAGTACCTAAGTTTCAAACATACTGTACGCACGTGGTACGGTTCATTAATGAATGCTTGATTTGATCAGTTTGTCGACCGACACGTTGCAAAAATCTCAGAATCAGGTACGGCCGCGTCCCGACCGTTCGGCCAAACTTCAAACCTGCAGACCGTATTAAAGAGCGCCCGGACGGTCACCTCAGCCGGCCGCAATTATAAAATCGTTTTTGCTGGTAACTTTGGGCAAAGTTGAAGTTAGAAGAAAGTTGTCGCAGATCACTGTTTAGCGACGCGCATCGGTCGGTAGTACACAGCGGTTTGTACCCACGCTGAACCCACGGGTATTCAACCTGGTACCCGGTTCGGACCCAGTTGTATCCAACTCCAGGCTCCAAAGTGCGACGTTCATCGGATGCTAAAGGAGGTGTGCCGTGTGACAGGCTATCCCGACCTGTTGATTCGGGGTGAGATACTTCAAGCATGACTTGGACTTGACATGCTTGATGCTTCTCAGTCTCTGCCAATCACAGTGTCAAGCTTACGTTTTCGGGACCTCCGACGGCGATCTGATGGTCGGAACCCCGCCGTTAGCAGGGAATCTATGTCATGCCATATGCCCTCGATGCCAGATCGACTCGACTAGCCTGTAAGCGTGCAACACGTGGCGCAAGCGTGCAAGTACTAGGTTAAGCAGACATGTTCATGATCAGGATAACCATGCCTTAACTAACGAACAAGCTAGAACAGGATGACAAACGGACGCATTCCATTGGACGTCCATTAACCAGTTGCATTCGCTGAATCCCTGTGATTGCCGGATTCAATCCCAAGACGTTTCCACAACGTTCTAAGGGTACATACCCGGCTATGTTACCGGTTGTGTAACCGTGACGGATCCAGGTACGAACCCAACATTAGCATGCCGTCCATTTCCACCACGACAATGCTTTTGGACGTCCAAACTCAAGCAAGTCTCCACGAGGTACTTAAGTCAATTGGCATCGCCATTTTCAATTCGACTTTCATTCAAGTCAATTATCCATCACCAGCGGGCACCCGTGCCCAACCCAGCATCCGAGCTCCTTGAGCGTTCAACCCAGCATCCGAGCGCCTTGAACGTTCAACCCCGTATCCGAGTGCCTTGAGCACTCAAACCAGTTGCCAGTACTACCGGCAAAATCGAAGGAGCAGTACCGTACCAGCGACGACAACACCATGGAAGCAGAAGGACCTCACGGAGAACTTAACCAGAATAACAGTTTGAATACGACAGTAATTTAACCGGCCTTATAAGCCTTCAGCGTTACACCTTCGTTTCATCTCAGAATGTCTCACGCCTCCGGCGACGCCATCTTTCAATCAGTAAGTGCTATGTGCCCATGTTTGTCGTTTGCTCATGCCTGATCATTTTGGATATCCAATACACTGATTGCGTACCACTACCATTCTTGCGGGTTGTGCCTCAAGGACGGACAATGCGGGTAAGGTGAGGATAGCCTTGAATGTTAGCACGAGTGACTCCAAGATCTCAGCAACATAATTTCTACCCTCACTGAGGGCTTCTCTCTTGAAAGAAACCCTCCGTCCCTACTTGAATGAAAGTCAGGGCAGAAATGTCGCGTGAATGAGCTTTTCTCGGAGTTCCACAGTAGGAATTAGCCTGCTTGGATTGACAAACTTTGGTGTTGGAAACCCAACTGGATTGTGGGAATCGGATAGACTAGAAATTGCCATTGCGGTTCAGCGGAGAATAGATCAGCAGCTGCCGTGGCAGTATCGCCAGTCAGGTCTTGTGGGGGATCTAAGTGAATATCCATATCAGCACAGGATCTGGGACGATCTCTGTGGGGTGGACCAACTTTACGCCGATATCAGACATTACATTGGTCCGCAATTAGAAACTTGGAAGTCACTCGCTTGTCCAGTGTGCCAGTCTTCAGCGCAGGAGTGGAATAGTGTGTCTGCATTCGTATTACTCACCCGGCCCCTCAGGACAACCTTTACGGACGATCCTGTCGGACCTTCTGTCGGCACACAGCGCTTAACAGTCCAGAAGGACCTTTGGAGACCAGTCATAGCCGGAATCATACAGCGACAGATTACAGTGAACGGACATCCAAACATCCATTCAGTCCTATTAGTTTTGGACATTTCAGGATTCTACTTGGTGCGTGTCCGCTGCCAGTGTGCATCGGACGCCTGGAACAACTAACCACATTCTCCACCTACAGAACTCCAATTGGGAGGAGAACGCAAAGAGTGTTCCCGGACTCTTGGAGCGTGTCGACGCCCCCATCAGCCCCGCCATCAAAAGCCGGCGGAGTTCTGTCGTCCCCAGCCTATCTTCAACACCGCCCTCATCTCCCCATCATTCCAGTCTGCCCCAGTGTAACCGCTGCGGGCCTAACTCAATCCTCCATACCTCAGATCAGTGCCCTGGACGCCCGTCCAGAGCGTTTCGCAGCAGCCTGAAGGTCAACATCAGCACCTGGCAGCTCTGACTAGGACCGTCGTGAGCCCACCCCAGAGCAACAGTTGGCAGCCCAGACTGACGATATCGACCAAGCCCGGCTGCAGCACGCTGTCACGCGGGCGGATACCCTGTTTGCCCAACACGTAGCCCTGGACGGTACCAAGGCCGTTGAGCGTCACCGCTTAGCAGCCCGGAAGACCGGCCTTCAACACCGCTACGTCACCACCAAACAACACGGGGTGTACAAAGCCATCAGGGAAACCCCGGACATCCGCCTCTCCAAGCCGCGGCGTCAGCGACGGAGCGGCCAACACACCGTCCCCGTCAACAACCCGCACCGCCGTCCTGTTAACCGGGTCCCCAAACCTGCCCCTGCCCCTGCCCCAGTGGTCCACAACGCCAACTGGCGCAAGCAGCACCGCACCGACACTCCCAGGCCCCCAGGCTTCGGAGGCAACCGACGTGTGCACTTTGCCCCCGCGGCAAGAAGGCTGCATCAGGGCCCGGCGTACCACAACCCGTTTGTCTTCACCCGACTGGATAACAATAACCTGGCGTACAAAGGCCACTACCAACTGGCCCCTTATCGCCCGCCGCAGCTGTTTCCCAAGTACGCGCCGCACCCTCAGCCGTACCAGCCACATCACCAGAAGCATTACAAGGGCCTTCCCTGGAAGACAAAGACCTACAACTACTACGAACCCCTACTTCAGGGATAAGGTAAGGACCAAAAATATCACAACCATCCCGAGAAAAGCGGGCTGCGCCAAGAACTCCTCACGATAAGGTTGCGACGCAAATGTCGATTTCACAGCGGGTTTTTCAGGGGTTTTGAGTGCAAAATCAATATTTAGACATATTTAGGCCTGGGCAGAGCTCTACTGTTTGGAATTCAAGTCCGTAAAAAATGTTGAAGACCATCAGGGGGATGTCCTGGAGACAGCCACTGCACAGAATTTTCAATTTCGACCTACGGCCAAAAATATTCTCTCATATAGGTGCAATATCGCAATTTGCCCCTGTTTACGGGCAAATTCGGACTCCGAAAAACGGTGAAGTCCCCGAAAATTTGCACTCGTTGAAAACCCGATGTACGGTTCGCCGACTACTCGGTAGAGCGCGGGTGACATTACAGACTGACTTGTAGAGTGAAAATGTTATCGTGCGGAAAAACCACACGTGCGGATGGTTGTGATCCAGAAAGGCGCTGCCTTTTTGTTGTGTCAGTTACTGAGAACTATTGTCTGACTGGTGGGATTGGACCCAAATTACCTGAGACTACAATTAGTTGATTGAAGAGTCTTTCATTTACTGCTTGTTGGCTGCCATTTGTCGACTGCGCAGGAAATCCAAGGGACCAGAGACATTGGCTGTCTAGCCAATGCCGCTCTTTGTCTAAAGTGGAAATCACCCCACTGGAGCAGGATTTGTTTTAATTTGCCCCTGACAAAGTTATAACCCCCTGTCAGGTTGAGTGGACATTGAGGCTCTGAGCTTTTCAGAGTCTATGTGAAACAGCTAGTGATAGAGTCCAGTTAGCATACTAGATGTGCGTCCTGAAAAGGGAATCTTGGAAGGATAAACACGACTGGCAAGCTCAAGGGGAGTGTACCCACCCCTTGCGTTCGGAAGTAGATAAGACCCCTGTAGTTATAAAGTACCGCATCCATAGCCACAGGTGACAGTTTTCTGTTGTCCGCATCATCCCTTTTAGCAAACGCCAAAAGGTCAAAGGAAAAGCAGTAATTGGAAAGTAGTCCCTATTGGCAGAATTCAATAAGCTTCTGCAGTAGGATAAGGTCAACCTAGTAGACTTGGACAGACACCCAAGCACAATTGTTGCTGCCCAAAACAGTTTCGGCAACGACATTTTGGATATCCGAAACAACAAAGGATATCCATGTCCAATTTAAATTCTGAAGACGGATACCAGCTCCGCAGAGAACTTCAGAATCCTTACGCCCAAGGTTCATCGTACAAGACCGAAGGGCCGCGGCCACCCTTTATCCAGTGGGGGAACCGCCGACAAAGAAGCGTACGAGGTGAGACCTCTGCTGTCACTCAGGCCACTGACGCGTCTGAAAAATTTGATTTAGCAAACTCAGGATCATCCGTCACAGTAAAGATGGCACTCAAGGAACTTGATTCATTTAATCATAAGTTCACAGGAGAGCCAAAATCATCTGTCACTTTGGACAACCTACGTTCAACTTATGCAGCCTGCGAGGCCACACATAAGTTGCAAGCAGGTTATGACAGGCTGACCACCACTAACAAATTTCATGTGATCATGTTCAAAACGGGCGGGGCAGCCCATGATACTTGCCTTGCCCTCCTCACAGAAAAGGAAGAGGAGTTAGCAACACACAATGCGGCGTTGCAATCCAACTACCTTAGAGGCAAACTCACTTAGGAACAGGCCAAAACTGCATGGGATGCTCAGACCGCAGAACAACGCGGAACGGCTGTCCGGCTAGTTTTGCCACCAGAACCTCTAACAATTACAACCTTTCTGGGCGATCCAGTCACTGAATTGTGGGCTCGTCTTTTGCAGGCATATCCAAAGGATTCGGCTGCCAAGATACAAGCCTATGGAGACTTCAAGGTGGAGGAGAATGAATCAATTACTACAGCTAGTCAACGTATGTCCAAATTAGCATTAGACCTTAAGCAACCACAGACGAAGGCAGCTGAGAAGCTACTCAATGCTTTGCCGTGGAACATACAGTCTAAGTTGCGTACAAAGTTACAGTTTCAATATGAAGACATTAGCACATGGACAGTAGAACTAGTACGGTCAGAGGCTGAAAAGCTTGAGAAGATTATAAACCAAGAGAAGTTATTAAATCCAAAGACCATTACGTCTAAAAATAGTTCTACTAACAATAACCATCCTCAGATTGATAATAAATATAGGAGCAACAAGCCCAAGTGTAAAGTTTGCGGACGTACAGGGCACTCAGCAGCCAACTGCCGGAGTAACCCCCATAAAACAAGTGCAAAGACAGCGCAGACTGCGCCCACTTCATTTCAACCAGGCCCATGTTTGAGATGTCACCAGATGCCAGGGGCACCAAGCTGCCCAATGTCCAAACCGACCTGTCACAAATGGACCTATCAATCAACACATACCCGGCAAACCATGGTGTACACATCATCGGATAAACACACATGATTCATCTAAATGCATCGCACTACATCCTGACAGTGAGCTGGCCACCCGGCCACGTAATCAACCCACTCGGAGTTCCGCAGCCGTTCACAGCTGCCGGAACAACCGAGGGACCAATGACAGCGCACAGAAAAAGGAACTCTGGAAAGAGTATGAAAAGCGCCATTAAATCTCAAACGCATATTCCTCCCGAGGATCCAGCCCCGCCAGTTCCCATGAAATAGCATCAGAAAATCCCCTACCGATACATGTCAAGCAGGCGCGCGCGCAGGCTGTGGAATATCAAGACAGGATTGAACAATTCGAATTTGATTTGGAAAATCTCGAAAATAAAATACATGATGAAACACAAGCCAAAGCGGCTCAGCGCAAGCGAAATAAAGACAAATTAACCAAACCAGAACCGGCAACTGTCACCAAAAAGCGTGAACGAAAGCGGACAGAAAAGAAATACTCTCGACAGCGCACTGAAACGCAATTTCTCAGGCGGAATCCCGACATGCCATTAAGTTTTCGCCCCAGCAAGGAGATTGAGAAATTTCGTTCCAATGCGAGGGGGGGGAAATGACGACAATAGTAACACTATCAATTACACTGCAAAATCGGACACTTTTCGATCCCTAGAAATTACAAAAGCTGAGGCTCGAGAAATGCCATATTTCATACCGAAACTTGAAAGATCAACTCAGAACTGACGCCCAAAGAAGGAAGGAGGAACGTGAAAAACATATGCGCAGTATTAAAATGACCAAGGAATTAGAAGAAGTGGCCAAGCTACCACCAATCGTAACCAATAAACATCATAAGGATTATGAATATTGGAAGGATCCTGCTGATCCACAGTTAATAGGCAGTCCTAGGACACCCCCAGCAGAACCAAACCCCAATAGCTACAAGAATCCCCACCCGGAATTCCAGGCTCTGCTCAAAAAGGGATCCCCGTGGTTATAATTTTGGGTTCCAGTCACTGTCACTGTCACCAGAGGAACAAGCCAAACAAATTGCTCAGTTAGCAGCAATGACGCCTAGACCCCACAGGGTCTACTTCGTCAGCCCAATCTAGTTCAGGACTTGAGTCAGAAGAGGCTCAAATCAAGTTAACTATTAACACCAAACTTGCTAGAAGCCCCACATTAGTTACCAGCAGCTGAGTCTGGTGGATGTCCAAAGGAATCAAGTACCTTGACAATCCACCTGGAAAAGGCAGCACGTGCGAGTCTTGCGGACTCATGCACGAGCATGCCCCAATGTCACAAAGTGACTAGCAAACTTACATCCAAGCTTGGAAACGTCGACTTGACAGTCGACTACAAGTCTGCCATTCGGCTTGAAGAAATTCTGCTACAAGACATGGCTGAGCCTACCCAGCCAATTGTTCCCTCCGGAGCGGTCACCCTATCCAGGGACAGTTCACCATTTGTCTTGTCCACAAGGGCTGCGGAGGCAGCCACTTCTCTTCTCAGCTTAACCGCAGAGTCAGCGGTTACTCCCTGCCACCAGCACATCATTTCGCCACAGCGCCCACGCACCATGGCACAAAACCTTCGGCCCAGGCATCAGGAGGAGCGGGGAAAGCGGGGGACCGCTGCAGAGGCATCTGGCGCCGCGCAGAGGCGTGCGCAGGACAAGGAGCAAAGCAATGCAGCAGGTGGGCAGTCCGTAGAATTGCCTTTTGAGGAACCCCAGAACCCGAAAAAGCCGGAAATGCAAAATGCGAGCGAGCCCAGTGGGTCACAGCCGCCACCCACCCACGACATCATGGACGTTTCTGAACTAGAGGAACTTGACATTCCCTCGGAAGTGGTGGCAGGAATGAATGTCCAGGACAATGCCATGACGTCAGAGTCGTCAGAATCAGAGGGCTCAGATGCATGCTCAGGGACAGAATCAGAATCGCCCGTAGAGGAAAGTCCTTCTGATAGCTCGGGAGACGCTTACGTTCCCTCGGAAACGGAGGGAACCGACAGCGAGGACCTGACCGGAGTGGAAGAGGAAGAGTGGGATGACCTTTTTCCCATCTTCCCCTATGCAGAGAACCCGCCCCCCTGCACAGAAGACACTCTGGTCCTGCGGGACCGCCTCAACGCTATGCAGCGGCCGCGCCAGGCGCTCCCTGGAAAGGACCGCCTCAGCCCCTTCCACAAGACCCACGTCATCACCAACGACGACGACCTGCCCGAGTTCCGGAAGATGACGGACCAGTGGAGGAAGGACTACATCGGGTTCATCATGTGCCTCATCCAGCGCCGCATCCCCCTCAAGAACAAGGAAAAGCACGCGGGCAAGATCGATAAGCGGATCATCGCCGTCGAGCACCACCTCTTCCCCATGCAAGACGCCGCCTCGGTCGAGCGATGCATCCTGTCCATCGACAAGGCCAAGGAGATGGAGCAGAACTGGGACGCGCAGCACCCCGGCCGGCCCATCAAACCAGCGCGCCCCATCCCCCTGCGCAAGATGGTCACCGCCCTGTACCAGAACGTCATGGGGCCGAACGCCCCCCTCTACGAAGAAGACATCCCGGCCACTCAGGCCGCTGCGGGCGGTCAGCCGGAGAACCAGGGCCAGAACCAGCCCGAGGACTAGGGAGCGGAGGACGCCCCCGACCTGCAGGATCAGGGCGGCCCTGACCTGGAGGAGACCGCGGGAGACGCCGCCGCCACCGCAGAGGTCTTGGGGCACGACCTGGGCCCCCGCGACCAGCAGACCCCCCAGGACAACACCCACTCGGCGGCCTAGACCGCCAAGGACGGCGCATCGCCGTCAGACTCCGGGGCCCAGGCCCAAAGGAGGACTCTCCCCTGCCGCTGCGCTGCAAGGGCAATAAAGGCCCCATCGCCAAGTCCCCGCGCTCCGTCATCAGCGTGGACAGGGACGCCACTGTACCTGTGGAGCGCGTCAAGAAGACGACGCGAACGGACACGGAGTTGGTCCGTGAGACGCCGGTACCTGACAGCGCGGACGCACCGCCGCGCAAGAAGAAGAGAAAGGACCGCCAGCGCCAGGACGTGAGCCTCCCACGCAAGCAGCTCGTCGCCCACGCGGCCGAGGCCGACACGGAGCAGCCCCCCAGTCGCAAGAAGAAAAAGCTGCTAGCCCCTGTTGAGCTGGCCACCATCGACCCTGAGGAGCTGTACCCGCCTGCCAGGGGACCCCTTCGCCGCCGCTACGATGACGACGATCCCGACAACGACGACCAAGCTGTGGTGAGTACGCATACGTTTTGGACAGCCATACAAAATTTGAAAATGTTTTGGCTATCACGATGGACAGCCCACCAAGCCAAATCGTCACGGGAACAAGATTTGAACCAAGAATGAGAATTGCCCACCTCAGAACTAACCCCAGCTTCCACAGCCAGAGGATTACCACTTGTTCAGAGGCAGGCTGTGAATCGACTATTAGAATTAACAGCCGATTTAGAATTAGAGTTTCATTTGACATCCGCCCACAGTCTCCCCAACAAACTTTTGACTTTGTTGGAGGAAGGACTGAAAATTTTGGTCAAATCTCGCTGGCTGCTAGAGCCAGAGCCATTGGTTTACAGTTTTCAAAAACCAATTACGGATGTGGAAATCACAGAAGGGTTTCGCACCGCGTGGCAGACTGTTGCGTTGTTCATGCGACTGTGCTTAGCATCACAGTTTCTGCATGCTACCGCGTCAGGTGTTCACCGACATTACACTTGGTGTGAAGTAAAACAGCCTTCTGCTATAAGGCACAGAATTTACGCACCGCCGTTGGCTTTCTGCGATCTCCCAGTCCAGCAAGCCAACTCAGCCCAACAGCACGCGCGGTCGTTTCAACAATTCTTAAGCCCAATTGAGTATGCCAAATCAAACAAAATGTCATTGGTCAGCCATTCAGAACGTGTGTCAGGATTAACCACGCACCTAGGATAGACAATTCAGGACCTAACCCCTGTTTCCTGATTAACGGTGTTGCTCTGGAATGGTTAACCGTTGACACCGCCTGCGAAAGTGTTATAATTTCCAATTGGACAGCCAAAAAGTTGGGAATTGCGCCAGAAATGCGACAACGAAAAGCCATCAGCTTAATCACAGCGGATGCCGTCACCACGGCACCCGTTGATCGCACTTGGGACACAGTCGAAATTTCTGTTGATCCAGGAACCTCCGCCGCGACCACCGTCCAGGTTAAACTAACCATAGTTCCTTCACAGACCAAAGAAACTTTGATAGGAATGAGCGTAATTGGTAGAATCGGGTTAACATTAAACCCATCACCAAACCGTTACGTATTACCCCATGTGGTGGGAAGAAAACGCAACCACCGCGGAACTTCCATCCATTTTTAATGTGGACTTGGTCAACACCTGCATCAGCGCTGCGACAAGCTCACGCATTAGTTAAGCTACCTTGTCATATGCAGGGCGCCTGACGACGCCACGCGCTCCCAGGCCCCCATCAGCATTGTACAGTTGTGCACCGGACCAGTTCCTGCGCCCGTGACGCCGCACGAGGAGAGAGCCACCCGGCTCCAATTAGAGTTTAGAGATCAGCTAGAAACACATAGCATACTTGCTAAGTTTCAGCGAACTATACGTAGTTTGACAGAGCCGGCACAGCCGGCCCTCCAATTAGAAGCTCGTTTTGGATCTCCATTGGATCCTAATCTTGTAGACATTCATGAACAGTCGGTTGTAAATAGCCACGGCCTAGTTGTTTTGGAACTCTGTTCAGGACTGTGCGCAGCGACAAAAGTCTCGTGCGCACAGGCATAAACATTAGAAAAGTTTACGCATGTGAATTGGAAGAATGCAGCCGAGACGTGGCTGAGCAACGGCTGGCCACTCTCGCCAAATTGTTCCCACACCTCATTTCGGAAGATGCAGTGGTAAATAGTCATAACCATCTCCCACCGGATCTGTTAGAAGTCACAGATGAACACATAGCTACACTAGAGCCACCAGATATTATTATTGTTGGATTTCCATGCCAAGGGTTCTCCTCGGCAGCCACGCGACCACTCGGTCTGCGCGACACGCGCACTGCACTATTTTACAAGTGCGTAGAGATAGTCTGCGCAGTGTATAAATATCATGGCCCATGTGTCTGGCTGTTTGAAAATGTGGATGCAACGGATCATTGCGACGCACAAGTCGCCCATGAATATAATCACATAGTCAAAGGAATATTAGGACATGGTGTAGCATTTGACGCTGTGGCCGTTGGATCATACGCGCACCGCCATCGGCGCTTTTGGACAAATGGAGTTCCTGATAAACTATTGGAGAATACGGTAGCCCACACGTTTACTAATCGAGTCAGTTAGCGACATCCAGGAGCCTCATCACGAGGCTCGATTAGCCGCGCATGAATCAGTGCCCGGCAATTATGTAGTCAATGAAATTGGGAAGCCACTACGGGCATTCTCCACTTCGTCACGGTCAAAGGTTCCCATGCCTACCGTAATAACGGGCACAGCTTACTCACAAATATTAACACGGGACAGCTGGAGGAACCCACGGCCAATGAACGCGAGGCCGCCATGGGATTCATGGTCGGCACAAGCAATCATCACCGAGTCTCAGAAGCAGATTGTATGCCCATGCTAGGAGGAACAATGGACATGTTCCAAATAAAATTCATCATGGGAGCCATCATGGTCTTTCAACACACCTTCTTCCTCAACTGACGGCGCGCCGAGTCACAGCTAACCAAGCTCCGACCCGCTAGCGTGACTCACCTAGCACAAACTAGCCACATACCTACTTCCAGACTCATATCAAACAATGAGCTTTACCAACTAGCTACACTTAATCAACGCTCAATTGTATCACACCCCAATTTCCGCACACGAGTGCATAGTGAACGCCCATGATGATATATTCCCTATGCAAGGGGGGGGGGAGACCACTATCAGAACGAAATTCGCTTCGCCAACGACCGCTTGAAAACAACCGGCAACCTTGAGAAGACGCTGGAAGGAAGCAATGACAGCTAGTTGAACACAAGCGCAGAGCGCCCTGATCACCCTCTCAGCAGACAAGAAGCCAGACTTCAACTGAGACGCGCAGGGAAGGGCAGGGAATGCTCGCCAAGCGAGCACAAGACTCTCAACTCAGGCTCAGATACAACACAAGTGCTGAGCAGACCAGGAGTCACAAGCAAGTAAGGGTTAACTGAGAAAACCCCACCTAACACAAACTCACCTGAACCAGTAACTACATGTCGGAGCAAAGCACCTGCAGGGAGCAAAGAAGCTACTGATAAGACTGCAGAGGAAACAGAAGAATGGAGTTGGCCCATGGGACAGTCCCTGACACCCAAACAAAAGAGTCAGCTAACAGAACTTCTAGACAACTTCAGGGACATCTTTGCCTTCAGCATGAAGGAGATGACCACGATACCTGGAGTAGAATTCGAAATCCCAGTCACCGATGAAACGCCAGTGTTCAAACATCAATACCGCCTGGCACAAACAGAAAAAGAGGATCTCGCACAGCAAGTAGCCAAACGCCTCAAGAATGGACTCATTAGACCATCCACATCACAATGGGCCTCCCCGATCACGATGCCACCAAAGAAGGATGAGAATGGAGACTGGACACAACGAAGGGCTTGCGGTGACTATCGCGGCCTTCATAGGGTAAGTGTTACTGATCACTACCAGATACCAACACCAGAGGAAATATTTGATGTCCTAGGCAACGCTAAGCTGTTCACCACACTCGACTTCCGCCAGGGCTACAATCAAATCCGGATTGCAGAAAAAGATCGCTGCAAGACGGCTTTCTGGGGAGCAGATGGGTTATACGAGTGGCTAGTTATGCCGTTTGGATTAAAGAATGCACCCGCCTTCTTTCAAAAGGTCATGGGCCAAACCCTTCGTGCAAAAAGAGCGTTTTGTCGTTGTTATGTTGATGACCTCATCATTTTCAGCAGAACCTTTGAAGAACACCTGACACACCTGACGCAAGTATCCCAGCGACTTCGGGAAAGGGGACTGAAGTGCCAGCCCAAGAAAATGCGAACAGCAGAACCCGATGTCGGATACCTAGGGCATCTAATAGTCTCCGAAGGGACTGCCGTGCGAGAAGAGAAGGTTGAGGCTATTTTGCGAATTCCACCTTCACCAGACGTCAGTGCACTAAGAGCCTTACTAGGAACTGCGGGATATTACCGCAAGTTTGTCAAATGATACAGTAAGATAGCAAGTCCCCTGAATCACTTGCTACAGGAAGGAGTTACATACGACTGGACAGTTGAGTGTCAGGAAGCGTTTGAAACCCTGAAGAAACACCTAACTGAAGCCCTCATCCTACGCAGGCCCGATTTCAACCGAGAGTTTGAACTGCACACCGATTGGAGTGCGCAGGGGCTGGGAGGAGTACTCACACAACGAGATGATGACGGCAACGAGTATGTGGTTGCCTATGCCAGTCGCAGTTGCAACAAGACGGAAAGGAACTATTCGAGCTATCATGGTGAGTGCCTAGCAGCGGTCTGGGCTGTTTCCCACTTCAGATATTATGTACGGCCGCAAGTATACTCTGATTATAGATCACGAACCGTTGGAATGGCTGATGACCAACGAGAAGCTACGAGGAATGCACGCCAGGTGGGCTAATATTCTTCAAGAATATGACATCTACATCAAACACAGGTCAAGAATTAGAAACCTAGATGCAGACGGGTTATCTCGCACCCACTTCCGTCTGAAGAGGATTCAACCGGCGCCAGAATGGACCACGTTCAGCCGCTTGAGTCAGTGAAAGAACCCATGATCACCACAGAATCATGGCAACCATGTGTCACTAGTCAGAAAGACATTGGGGCTCACAATGGTCCGAAGACCATGGGAGCAAAGGGGATTGTGACAGAGCACAAGCCACCCTTGGTTGACGCGCCCAATATCATAGCTGCTTACTTAGCTAGAATTGCCAGTCACCAATGGACTGCTAAGTCGACTGAAAGCAGCCAGGGACGATCAATCCATAGAGAAGTCCAGCCTTTCCATCATGCATTCCGACATGTGCATGCAGGCTCAAAGAGCAGAGACCTGAACACAGAAACAACAAGCCACGTTGCTTTCTTTCCCGTGCAGAGATTTTCGACGGGGGACCTGCCAACTACAGGCCACGTCATGAAGCTTAAGGCATGCGCTTCAAGGCAACTCGCCTCAAGGGTGAGTGCTGACATCTCATCTCCAGCAAATGCCAACCCAACGCACGAAGCACAAGATCAAACAGCCGCCCCCGATCTTCATGTCACTCAGGGAACTGCAATTCTATCTGGCGAATCTTCTGAGCTGACCCTTTCACAAGCCCAATCTGAGTCAGCACTTCCCCCATCAGAGGCAAGCTTGGTAGCTGAGCCAACTACCGGCGTCACGGGCACCGACGCAGTCATTCCCCTAGCTGAATCAACTAATGACATAGAGGAATCAGACAACTCACACTTTCAAGGGACAAATAAAGATGGAGACCTCCTGGGTGACGACTCGGGCGAAGTACTCATCACTGATATCTGGTCTGACGCAAACACTATGCAATATCTGCAGGATAATTGCACCTACCCAAGCCACACAACCCGCAAGGAACGGGACAGAATATGGCGCACAGCGCAGGGGTGTAAGTTTGACAACCATACCCTCATCAAAGTAACCAACGATGGGCTCGCAAAGAGAGTCCCACCACCCGGAGCAAGGGCCGAACTGGTACACAACATTCATCGCCAATTAGGCCACTTCGGAGTTAAACGAACTTACTCGTTATTAGAACCCACGTTTTGGTGGGCAGGCATGCATGAGCGGGTAGCTCAGTTGGTAGCAAGCTGCCAGGTATGCGATCGCGTTAAAGCCAGCTTTAATGTGAAAGACTCACTGCTCAAGCCCCTACCAATAATGGGCTTAGAGTACCGATGGAGTTGTGACCTCGCAGGTCCACTCCCTCCTTCAGCAACAGGGTTTGGTACATCATGGTAATGATAGAGCACTTCTCTAAGTGGATAGAACTGGTTCCACTGATTGATAACACATCAGAAGAAACAGCCAAGGCTTTTCTCCAAGTATGCACCCATTTTGGGGCACCAGCAGAAGTACTCACCGACCAAGGGTCAGAATTCTAGGGAGAATTTGACACACTGTGCAAGGAACTTCTTATTGATCACCGCAAAACATCACGGGATCACCCACAAGTAGACGGCCTGGCAGAACGAACCGTTCAAACCACAAAACAAGCCGTTCGTAAATACGTACTAACTCACGCAGTTGACACCTGGGATACATGGGTGCCTTGGATCGCCATGGGCTACCGCATGTCCAAGCAGCTTGCACTAGGAGACTACTCCCCCTACTTCTTAATGTTTGGGCGCCACCCAGTAGTGGGAGCTAGCCTCCGAGACATGATCAACACCCCGGTCAACCTAGATGACCCTCAAACCCGGGCAGACGTCATTGCCCACCGCGCCGAGGAGTTTCGAAAGGCAATGCCGATTGCCTTTAGCAACCTTCAAGCCGCACAACACAGAGACACCCTGTGGTACGCCAAGACCCGCACTGGGAAATGGAGCCCCAAGGTTAAACGGTTTGAGGTAGGGGACCTAGTCTATCTGCGTCGCAGGAAGTTGACACTCTCGACGTCAATGTAGGCCGACTCATTTTGCGAATCACTAAAGTCTTACCGAGTGGTGCGCTCAGGCTACAAGGAAGAGATGGTAGAACCATCAAAGACCACGTTGAGAATTGTGCCCCCTGTCATAATCCAACCATTGATCTCACAATGGACACTACGCTTTCAGGATACGACGAGGACTGGGCCTGTCAAATCTGCAAGAAAACCAACCGACCATCTAAGATGCTGATCTGCGATTCTTGCAGCGAAGGCTATCACATGGATTGCTTAAATCCACCGGTCAGTAGAATTCCCAAAAGAGATTGGTTTTGCCCACGCTGTGTAGTGTGAGTGCTCAGTAAGGGGGGGAATAACAAAGATACTGTATTATATCTGCGGAAAACATGGCGTCCAGCTCGGCGCCTCAGGAAACGACCCAACAACCAACCTCATCAGGTTGGGGACCACCGCCCGAGCCCATACCGTTTAACGAGCTCGCGCCTATTGACAACACACCCATACCACCAGCATGCCCTGATGACGTCTCCTACGACAACACAAGAAAAATGACCGCATGTAAGTGGGAACACGGCTTCTGGCCAAACAAGAAAGCACTATTCGCCTGGCGAGTTAATCAGTGGCATGATCTGGTAAACGTTTTGGTGCATGCCAACTACCAATGGTATGCTTTCATAGATAAAATGTATAGAGAGTACAATGTATAAAGAGGTTGGAAGTACTCGAACGAAACAATGAGATGCATTGCACACCAAGTACTATGCGTCAATTTCTACTGCTACAGTGTCCGCGGGCCGAATTACTTCAGGAACTTCGTGACTGCGCAGAGCACTATCCCAAGAACGTTGTAATTACACGCCGCATGAGCACTCCCCCGAGGAATGTCATGCTCGAGTTCATTGAAAAAAAAGTCAGCGCTGGAGAAAATGATTGCACAACAACATGTGCACGCAGGTTTGTAGCAAGATACGGCAACATATAGCAGTAGTGATATCTAAGGAACTACCCGCTCCCAAGCCCCCGCTCCGCGATCTTGGGTCAGAGCCGATGCCATACTCGTATGGTGGCAACGGAGTCAGGCAATTCGTTAGGTACACTAATTAAGAAAGATAGGATAAACCAATGAACACACCGCCGTAATCTAGAACCAATTAACCGATGCACGTGGGCAGTCGAACCTTCCACTCGTTATTTCCTGTACAGTCACAAGCCTTATCCCTCGTTGGGACAACTCGGTGGCTTAGGGGGGGATAATGAATGAACATGAATTCCATAAGTCCCGCATGATACATCATGTACATCTAACGCTTTACCGATGCACACGTTCCGCTCTAGTTTGCCGAGCCCAATCGCATGTCGAGCCTATATCGCATGACAGCTGTCATGCCATATGCCCTCGATGCCAGATCGACTCGACTAGCCTGTAAGCGTGCAACACGTGGCGCAAGCGTGCAAGTACTAGGTTAAGCAGACCTGTTCATGATTAGGATAACCATGCCTTAACTAACGAACAAGCTAGAACAGGATGACAAACGGACGCATTCCATTGGACGTCCATTAACCAGTTGCATTCGCTAAATCTCTATAATTGCCGGATTCAATCCCAAGACGTTTCCACAACGTTCTAAGGGTACATACCCGGCTATGTTACCGGTCGTGTAACCGTGACGGACCCTGGTACGAACCCAACATTAGCATGCCATCCATTTCCACCACGACAATGCTTTTGGACATCCAAACTCAAGCAAGTCTCCACGAGGTACTTAAGTCAATTGGCATCGCCATTTCCAATTCGACTTTCATTCAAGTCAATTATCCATCACCAGCGGGCACCCGTGCCCAACCCAGCATCCGAGCGCCTTGAGCGTTCAACCCAGCATCCGAGCGCCTTGAGCGTTCAACCCCGTATCCGAGTGCCTTGAGCACTCAAACCAGTTGCCAGTACTACCGGCAAAATCGAAGGAGCACTACCGTACCAGCGACGACAACACCACGGAAGCAGAAGGACCTCACGGAGAACTTAACCAGAATAACAGTACGAACACGACAGTAATTTAACCGGCCTTATAAGCCTTCAGCGTTACATCTTCGTTTCATCTCAGAATGTCTCACGCCTCCGGCGACGCCATCTTTCAATCAGTAAGTGCCATGTGCCCATGTTTGTCGTTTGCTCTTGCCTGATCATTTTGGATATCCAAAACACTGATTGCGCACCACGACCGTTCTTGCGGGCTGTGCCTCAAGGACGGACAATGCGGGTAAGGTGAGGATAGCCTTGAATGTTAGCATGAGTGACTCCAAGATCTCAACTTGTTCAGCAACATAACTTCTACCCTCACTGAGGGCTTCTCTCTTGAAAGAAACCCTCCGTCCCTGATAATGAATGAATATGAAGTCCATAAGTCCCGCATGATACATCATGTAAATTTAACGCTTTACCGATGCACACGTTCCGCTCTAGTTTGCCGAGCCCAATCGCATGTCGAGCCCATATCGCATGACATCTACGGTAAAATGGGGGGTGCGACATTGTGTCCGCACCGGACGGGAGGCAGGGAAAAAGGCCCAGCGCTGGGCCAACTTAGATTTATTATGAAGGAAAAGAGACTTACATATCATGTGTAGATTGAAAACGAAGACGAAGAAGATCAGACGTCCCAGCGCGACTTCCGGGAGACCGTCCGAAAGGAGGTCGAATCGCAGCCGTGGTGACGATCGAGGTAGTTGTGGACGACCTCTTCAGAGGGGTCAACCGAGACCCATACTGTCCCAAATTCTGTTTCCCCGAGAGGGGGCGCGAAGCCCCCTCCTTTCCCTTGCCCCCGCGTCTGTTCGCAGGGCGCTTCCCCTTGGACTGCCCGAACTCCGCCCCGAGGGTGACCGTAGAGACAGAGGAGATTGCGGCCGCCTTCGCCTGCGCCAGCTCGCGCGCTTTGGCGCAATCCGCCTCCCACTTGACTGTACACCTTGGCCTCTACATCCGCGATCTCCGCTTGAATGTCCTCCATCCAATTCAGGTCTTGTGCCCGCCCCAGAGAAATGTTGTCGGGGTCGTTGCAGCGAGACCCCCTGGCACATTTTGGCGATGAGCTGCAACTGCTGAAGGCGTCGTTGAGCGGCAATGTAGAGGAGCTAGAGCTGCGCCAAGCGCTGATGAGTCCTCAGGGGGTTGTTCGAACCGGGAGCGCTTGGGTTTGACGCTCTCGTCTCGGGAAGGGGAGCGGTCTCGAACACGGGATAGAGGGGCCGGAGTCGGGGAGGGGATCCCCTCCAGCTTGCTGCTCAACGCAGGGGTCTCCCGGTCCTCTGTTTCTGCGGCCAGAGCCAACAGTCGGTCCCCAGAGGTTCACTCAGAAAGCTCGCCTGAGGGAGAGGGGTTTGGGGCGTCAAGTCGACCCGGAAGATTGGGTCGGTTAGTCGGCCCGAGGCGATCTGCAACCGGCACTCGCTCTCCCTAAGCAGGAGCAGATAGACGCTCGGTGATGGGGCGTCGCTTAGGAGTCCGCACCGGGCCCCTTAAGCGCTGGTGCACGGGGCGGCGTTCTGCGCCGGGAGAAGCGTCGCCCACGGGGGGATGACGTCATCCTGCGTCACTGCGAGGGGTTCCGGAGAGGGCTCGGGCGTGGGCTCGTAGTCGACCTCCTCCTCCGTGAAGTAATCGAATAAGTCATCCGGGTCGCAGCCAGCTCTCGGGTCGCAACGGGATGCCACGTGGCCGTTGATCGGGGTGGTCCTCGCGGTCGGCCTGCGCGGGGACGCTGCCGCGTGCTCCTGCAAGGCGCTGCCAATTGAACGGGCGCGCCAAGAAGAGGGGGAAGGCGACTCCGAGCGGTCTGGAGAGCTCGAAAAAGTCATATAGGCGCGTCGGGGAGAGGGAGACCGCCCGAAGTTGCGGCGGCCGCGGGGACTGGGGCTCCTGCTACCCGTCATGCGTCTCGGCGTCGGGGAGCGGTCGTGGGGAAACACGTTGGGGAGAGGGAAAGCTCTTTCTGTCTTCCCCCAAGCGGCGCATGCGCTTGCTTCGGACCACCTCTTTGCCCCGACCCTGCTCCCCGGGCCCTGGTTCCGCCTCCACCCCCTTGTTCCTGCGTGCTGTGTTGCGAAACCCCGGGGTGAAGTGGCTCGCCGCCGCTCCGCTGCTGTTCCTCGTCTTCCGACTCCGTCTCCTCGTCCTCGGGGAGATTCATCATGTTCCAAAAAGGGGCCAAACTGGCCCCGATCGGGGCACCCTGCACCAGTTCCGTCTGCACGCAGAGGAACAAGAGCGCGAGGTCTTGCGACACCGACGTCGCAGCCGCGATCAAGTCGCTAACTGCATCGATTATTTGGAGGTTCAGGGGGGGAGGAGGTTACGCGCCCCAACCGAGGTGCTAGCGAACCCCTCCGGGGTAAACCTCACCAGGTATGGTGAGATTTACCCCGGAAAAAGGGGGATTGTCGATCAGTCGGGGCAGCTCCGTCATGAGGTAAGTCGTGACGTTGTCTGCCAGCGCCGAAGCCCCGCCCTGGTTCAGCCGGCCAGTTATTTGATCGATCCGGGGTTGCCCTAGTGTGAAGACGTACCGCTTGCCAGGCCGTTGGGCTCGCAGGGAGGGGACGTGCAGGCCCGGTCACCTGCACAGCCGAGGGCCCAGACGAGGGCCCAGCTCCGGTCGGGGTTACTTCTTTCTTACCCCTCTTTGCGCCCGACTCTTTAACTGGTCCCTCTGCCCGTCCTTTCCCCGAGGCAGGCGTGACCGTTGGCCCCGCTGCGGCCACAATCGCGGCCGCGGTCACGGCCGCGGAACCTCGTGCAGTGGGTCCGGGTGTTTGTTCTCTCTTCTCTTTCCGGGTGGACTTACCCGGCTGCTCCGGACTTTCCGGCAGCGGTTCATCAGGGTTGAAGTGCACGAAATCACTGTGGCGTAATCGTGCGTCATAAGCGGAGAAGGCCTAGACCTGGAAGGCCCAGGGGGTTTGAGGATGGGTCAGGGGCCTCAGCACCTGGGGAACGGTGAGGTCAGGGAATCACCGAAGAGGCTGGATGTTTTTCCCGTCTTTGATGAGAGCTGAGGGATCAGGGAAAAGCCGTCCAGCCAGCATGCTGAAGCACTTCGAGTAGAGGCTGATCTGGAGGGGCCCTCGTCGCGTCTTGATGGGGTATAACGCCGGAGTCCCGAACATGGCCGCAGGGGACACGTGCGCGCGCAGCTCGCGCATCGTGTATTTTCCTTCCCCCAACCCCGGGGCTCCCGGCTTATGCTCCATGACGTGGTAGCGGATGGCGCGCGGAGCTACGCTGTGGGAATGAAGAACGACATCCAGGAGCCGTCCGCGCCCTCGTAGGAGCCCATGTATCTGGTGTAAGCCCAGCGCGCGTCCAACCGCGCGGAGGCAGGGGCGCAGCCGGGTCTACAAAAAAGTATGCTGCCAGAGCATCTTTGTCCGGCAAAGACGACAGAAGTTCCTCTGTGACCTCACTTCCGTCCTTGTTTGGCGGAATGCCGACTGCCGTCATCATCCACGCCCCGATGAGATCATCTGTTTCGGGGTTGATGTGGAAAAGGGGGTCGCCGGGGCGGAGTTGGTTAAGCTTGACGGAGGCGGGTTGGGGGATCTCAAACATGTAGAATTTGAGATGTTTTCCCCCGCCGCTCAGAGGCGGGGGGAACTCAGTAACGAGGTCCACTTCGAAGAAGTGGGGAAGGACGTGATAGGCCTTTGTCCCCGTGTCTAAAGCCTTCCCCACGACCGTCGCCGCCGCTTCCGTCCCTGCCTCCACCTTCCCTACGCTCGTGAAGATTGTGTCAGCGGAGTCCCAGAACTCTGTTGCCTTCCCCTTTTCCCGCAGCATGCTGACTATCATCGTGGCCTTTGGTGTCGTGCTTGGATAGGAAACCCCAAGAGAAGTCATTCCGCTCGAGGGATTATGCAGAGGCTTCCGTTTTGAAGATGCAGCGGTTTACCTGCTGTGCCAGGGTTTGGACTCCCCTGTAGGTTTGGGCCCCTGCACAATTTGGGCGGCAATTCGCATAAAAGATGCTCACGTCAGGCTGCTGTAGAGAGGTTTCGCCGTTACAATTTCCCCATTGGGAAGTTGCGGCACAAGGAGTCGAAACTGTTCGCCACTGCCTGCGTCAACCCCCCTGCGTCAACCCCGTGATTCGTGCCATGGGGTTCCCCTTTGAAATCCGGAGAGTGCGAGGTCCCTCATTTACAATCTGGTTGAGCCCGGGGATATTGCTTGCAAGGAATTGGTAGGACAACTGCTGTCCGGAAAGGATTTTGACACGTGGCGGAGCCGCCAGCCGATGGGCCTCCCTGTGTTGGGCAAACTGATCCGCCACCTGCTGCTCGCTTAGCCCCTTCAAATGGAGGGCCAGGCCGGTGAGCGTCGGAAGGTCGGGGGAAGCCCCCAGGGGAGTTGGGCCTGCAGGGGGAATTGTCGGGGGGTTCTCCCGAGAAGGGGGAGCTATTGCTTGTGGCTTTTTGACATAAAGGAGCTCCGTTTCTGGAATGGACTCCCTTTCTTTCTCCCCCACCTTTCTTTCCCCTTCTTAAGCTGGGCCTGCTCTCCCCCGGTAGGGGAGGCGGTCCCCAATACCCCTGGCCATGCAGCCATCCCTGCTGCACGCTGCAGAGCACTTTCTTCCCCTTCCGCCATCAATTCTGACAACGGCTGCTTCATTTCCTCCGGAGTCGCCTCGAAGGGCATGTCTCCCCATTCTGCAACAAGAACATCACGTTCAGTCAGGGCTTCCCCCTTCCCTTCAAGTGATTCCTCCACGATGGGCCTCTGTTTAAACTGGAAGGCTTGAGTAAGCTCTTCCGGTGCTCCCGGTACTGTTTTGCTACTGCAGAATCCAGCGTCTCGCTGTAACTCGCAAGCACCAACCTGGGGAGGATATGAGGGGCATACAATAGAATTCTGAAGCTCTTGAAGAAGAACTCATCCCTCATCACAATTACGGCCTGAGTCCGGGAGGAGAGGTCACCTTCTCCTTCCTCCTATCGGGCGGCAGCAATCCCTTCCAGGGCATGTGCCAGTTCCCCCTGCAACTTCTCCTCGGTTAGCCCTGTGATGGGAGAGACCCCATGCGGAAAAGACGCCTCTGGACTAGGCCGCCACACTCGGGGCATGTCATCCCCGGTGTACTGCACTGTTGCAGCATTGCTGCTGCTGGGAATTGGCCCCTTGTCAGCCATCCCCACCCCTGCAACCTCTTGCGCTTTCTTCTGATGCTTCGCGCCTGCTGCGGACCACAAGTCAAGCAATCTGTTCTGCTTTGGAGTGCGCCTTGGTTCGGAGGGTGGAGTTTCTGTGCTGCCTGCTCCTTCCTTTTTTCTGCGTTTTGGAAATGAAGTTTTGAGTGGAGTCTTCTCTCATTTTGCTTCCTTCCTTTCCCGCTTCAAGTCCCCTGCCTGCACTGGTGAATCCAGAGGTTCACTCAGTGGAGCTCTCAGAGACTTGTCAAGGTTCTGCCCCATTTTGCCTGCGGTTGGCCAGCTAATAGGGGAGAAACCGTAGAGGCCTCGAATTTGGATCCGGTTGCACTCCGAACCTGTATTATTGAGCCTCGATCGTGACGACCCTTCGCTTTAATGCAGTCGTCAGCTTCGGATCGTGCGAGGTGGTCGGGCGATGCCTCCAATAATGGCCGACACGCTTTGAAAAGGGCCTTGAAAAATCCGCCCAAGCGTGTAACCGCCGCTAATGATTGCGTAGTTCTCCGCACCCTGCACTTCGACTTCCGGCGGAGACCTCGATGTACGGATCCGTACTAACGAAACTATCCTTCTTATATTGAATGTTGGTTTGTTCGGACGGAGGGATTTTTGGGCCCGTGGATTTGGTTCGCGGCCGCGACTCCTCATGTCGCTAGATTTTAAGCTGCCGCGTCGGGGATTTCGACTGCGCCCAGCTGTGGTTTTTCTTGTAGTGTTGTCCTACTCCCCAACCACTGCCCGCGGCTCATAAGGGTGTAGCATAACGATGTGGCGCATCTAGCGCTGCCCGTTCTGGTCCTCCAGTACTGCAACCTGTGCAGCTTCGTCAAAGAAGTAGGCGAACTTGTAAGGTCCTTCCCACCCCGTGTCAAACTTGTGCTCGCGTTTCGCTTTCTTCATGATGACCAACTGTCCTGGCTTGAGGTTGGCGACCCGGTAGACGCCCCTGTGCTAGCGCCTCTGGTAAGCGGCTTCCGCTTTTACCTGCATTATGTCCCTATTCGCTGCGGCGGTCGCCCGCATATTGGCTTGGTGTGCTTGCCGCAGAAGGATGTTGACTCGTCGAATTTCGCCAATTCCTTGCACTGAGGTGTCGAAGTCGTGCTCTGCCCTTTCTTCCCCCTCTGGAGTGGAGGGTTGGCTTATCCGGAATCGTGCCGCGAGCAGTCGCTCCGCTGGCAGGACCGGTTGCCTCCCGTAGATTATCTCAAACGGCGACATCCTTGTGGCCTTGCGGTAGCACACCCTGAGGACCAATAAGGCCTCGTAGATGTGAGACACCCAGTCAGGCCAATATTGAATTACCAACTTGCGGACATTCTTGGTAAAGACTTTCACAAAAGATTCCGCTCTGCAGTTCATCCAGGTAGAGTCAGGTATACGATCACCTGCACATGCGTTCCCATTCTCTGGCAAAGGTCTTTCACCTCTCCGACGTGCGCGTCGTTGTCCATGATTATGAGCGCCGGGCAGGCGTGGGCCGCAAAGAGGTCCACTTTCAAGAACTCAGCGACCTCCACAGACTACTTAGTCTTGCCCAACCATGCACCAATCCAGCCGGAGAAGTAGTCGTACCAAATGTAGACGTACTTGTATCATAGTATCCCTCTGTTGTTTGGGGAAACGGTCCGAGCAAGTCGAAGCCGACTTTCTCAAGTCGTAGGTCCACCTCCGTACTTGCCAGCTTCCGGCCGTCCGTTCGCTCCGTCGTTGGTTGGTTGGCGAACTGGCAGGCGGCACATGATTTGTTGAAGTCGCGCACGTCTTCGTACATTCCTTTCCAAAAGAATAGTGCCTGCAAAAGCTTCCTCGTCTTTCGAATAGAGGGGTGTCCTCCCTAATTGTGCACCTACTCTAACACCATTTGTTTTTCTTCCTCCGTCAAGACGGCTCGCCTGCGGACCCGCTCCTGCACTTGGTTCATGCGCTTTGGGGGCGCATTGAGCTTCCACAGCCTGCCTTTTTCGAATGAGAAGCGGCGAGCCCTGTCCCCGATTTGGCGGCGCGCTTCTTTGCGCTGTTTGGCCGTAATTTCCGTAAACGCTGGCAGTTGTCCGCGGCACAGCCATTCTATGACCTCTGCGTCTCCGCACAAGAAGTCTTCTGGCTCTGGCCGGGGAAAGTGCTCCAGAGAGAAGGTCTGCATCTAGGCAGCACTGGCCTCATCCGGGTTGACCTTAATCCCCTCGCTAGGATTCTGGCCCTCCCTGGCTAAGAGGTTCTCTCGTACAGCTACAACCACGTTCTCCCTGCAATCTTGCTGCATGTTCAGGATGGCCTTTTTGGCCTCGCTTAGTACCCCCTCGGGGTCCGCGGTCGGGCAGCTGGTGAGGATTGTTATGGCCACTCTTTCCACCAGAGTGTTCTCTGCCAAAGGGGTATTCAGTACCCCGTTGCGCATAAAGTTCCTGCGCCTGATCAAGACCTGCGGAACGTCGGCATCGAAACCCTTAGTCTTCGGAAGTTCCGCTTCACCTTCGCGTGTTGCTGCCTCCAGGATTTGTTGTGCGTCCCAACCAAGATGCCTATCCATGTCTCTTGTCAGCTGTTCCACCATTTTTTCTTGATCCAAAACCGTGGGCGCCCAGGCCGGAGTTTCCGTGGGTACCTGCATTTATTCTGGAAACTCCAAAGTCGTGGTTTCCCCCGGAAGGATGGTCAGGACCATGAGTCCTTCCGGAGCCACCCAATCTTGAAAAGTGAGTCCTCCTCCATTATGAGGAGTTCGTCCTCCTCCTCAAACAACTTGCGCGGGTGAAAAGATATCTCCTCCCGTTTGCTAGCGCTGTCTTTGCCAGACTCGTTCTCCTAGTCGCTCGCCGTGTCGTTCCCCGCATTTCCCAAGCAATTTTACCGGGGAACCTCTAGCTTCGTGAGTAAGGTCCATATGAGAGTCTGCGTCCGGTGTGCAAGGTGAGTATGCTAAAGTCGACGTCTCAGGCGACTTCGCATAGAGAAACCTGAGGGAGGGAGGGTGGGTATTCGGAATCCGATGTTGCATAGCTGGGGAGCTCGTCGGGGTCTTCGTCCTGGTCCCAGAGTAGTGTTGCCACCAGGTTGCGGGAGAGGGGGTCCACATTTGAGTGGAGCCGACCCGGGTGGGAGATAACTGTGAAGTTAAACTCCAGCAGCTTACAATGCCAGCGGGCGAGGCGCCCTGTGAGTCCGGTCTGTTGGTGGAGCCATACGAGGGGGTTGTGGTCGACCCGTACTGTAAAAGTAGAACCCCCAAAAAGGTAAGAGCGGGATTTGTCTATTATCGCCTAGACCATAGCCAACAGCTCTCCGTCCGTGACAAAATAGTGGGCTTCTGCGCCGTGAAGTGCGCGAGAAGCGAATGCGACTGGGCACTCTCGACCTTCCTCGTTTAGCTGGCTGAGGGTTTGCATTGATACCAAGTTTGCTATAATCCGTGTCCGGAAGGAACGGCTTGAACGGCTTAGCGAAGTCTGGCCGAGTGAATGCCTGCGCATCAATCAGGGCCTGTTTGAGGAGCTTAAAGCTCTCCGCCTGATGCGGACCCCAGTCAAAGGGGACTCCGATCTTCGTCAACTCGTAAGCGGCTTTGCCAGCTGTGGGAACCTGCATGGGAACGGAGATCCTGTAGTAGCCCAACATCTCTAGGAAACTTTTGATTTCCGTAGGGTTGATCGGTTCGTACCAATCTCTGATTGCGCGGACCTTCTCCGGCGTGGGCAAGAGTTGATTGCGCCGGGTCAGGTGCCCGAGATGCTCCGTTTCGCTGGCACCGAAGTGGCACTTGAAAAGCTTAAGGTCGATGGCCTCCAGCTGTGTCAGAACGTTGTCCAGCGCCGAAAGGTGCTCTGCGAAGTCGTCGGAGTAGAGCAGAGTGTCGTCCAGGTATTGCGTCACGCAGGGTTTGGGCCCCCTAATTTCCTTCCGCAGGGTTTGGTCTATGACCATTTGATAAATCCGAGGGGCTTCCGTCAGGCCGAACGGCATTCGGAGGAATTCGAACAGGCCGCGGTGTGTGAGGAAAGCTGTCTTTTGAACATCCTTCGGGTGCAGCCGAATTTGCTAGTACCCCGCCTGCGCGTCAAGCGAAGTGAAGTAAGTCGCTCGCCCCGATTTGTCAAAGATGGACTCGATGCGCGGCAAAGGGTACCAATTGGGCACAGTTGCCAGGTTGATTTTCCTGTAATCGACGCAGAAACGCCACTTGCCACCTTTCTTTCGTGCAAGCACAACAGCTGCTGCGTAGGGGCTGCTTGACATGCGGACCACGTTGTAGTCTTCCATAGGTTTCATTTGCTTGTCTATTTTGTCTTTTTCAAAAGGACTGTGGTTTCGGGGCCCTTCCCGAATGGGTTTGATGTCCCCGGTGTCATGCAATCCCAGTGTGGGTGTACCCCTTTACCAACCCTGATCGGAGGGATCCTTTGAGAAGGCGTGGGGGTGACGCGCTAGAACTTCGAGCAGCTGCTTCTTTTGCTCCAGAGTTAGGCTTTCGGCGATCTGCAGCTAGAGAAGCACGGCCTGCCACTGCTCCTCTGGGGGCAGTCGAGGGAGCGGTTTTCGCTTCGACCTTGGGGCAGTCCGTTGCCTTTCGTGACTGCGGAAGCTCGAACCCAAAGATATGTCCTCTCCCCAATCCTCTGTCCTTTCCCGTTCGTGGGCGTCACCAGCCTCCACTTCTGCCTCGACTAGGAGGACTGTGGCGTAGAACTCCGGGGCAACGCAGCTAGTAACTGCGTGGGACTGTGGTGCAAAAACGCGTCTCTGTCGAACTGAATAAACGACTGTTCATACTCTCGGATTTTATTGGAGGCGTGATTTTAGGAGTATATCCTCTGTCGCACCATCTCGTCTCGAGAAAGTACTAATGGGCCGTGAATATATACAAGTTCCTCAATTTCATCAAAATTGCGTATATGTAGGGATGTACTTACTTACATCATCCTCATACTATATATACCCCTATACCCCCTATTCGTTGCCCTCATCATCATCATTTCCCCTTGACCCCAGCCTTCCCTAGATACCCCCTACTCATTGCCTTCATCATTATCATTTCCCCTTGACCCCAGCCTTCCCTAGATACCCCCGACTCATAGCCCTCATCATCATCATTTCCCCTTGAAAGTTGACCCCAGCCTTCCCTATACCCCCTACTGATTGCTCTCGTCATCATCGTTTTCCCTTGACCCCATCCTTCCCTATAGCCCTTGTTCATTGCCCTCATCATCATCATTTCCCCTTGGAGTCGGCCCCCCTTATACCCCCTATTCATTGCCATCAT